CAACTTAATCTGGCCAATTGTCGGGGCTTCTGTGGGAAACTTCTTACAAGTAGTCATCATAGCTCTATAGATCCTACAAGTGAATGATAGTGCCAAGGGTACATCTTTTTTGTATGCCGAAAGGAAGTCATGTGTTTTTTCTCTAGTCGAAAGATCGCTTTTTGTTAGTATTATGCGATTACATCTTCCGAGGGCAGTTTTGGAGCGAACAGGCTCACATGACTCTCCATTGTATTTCTATATCTATTTCTAGAAGCTTTGAGGGAGTATACATAGCGTACAACTCGATTAAAATCCAGTAGAGACCAATAATTCATTGGTGTTGCTACCACCAATTAAACAAGCGGATGTCAACGTACACAGTTCACCAGCACCGCTGCCATCATCATTATCATTATCATCATCATCATCGTCATTCACTTCACAGGAATATCGGAACCTTTCTTTAACATGCCCTTTGGAGCAATTCTCTCAAAGAGAGCATCTTAAGCTAGTTTTGAATACAGGCAGAAATCTAAGGTAGTATATACGACCTTTGCAAAAACACACAACAGCATCAATTCATCACGACATTGTTCTCAGTAAAATAACAACAATGATGACAGACAATTACAAGAATTCTTCTTCGAGTGCCAGCACAAAGCAAACATCTCAATGAAAAAAAGTTTCCCACGTCACCTGGAGGCAGTGTAATACCAGGAACATGGTTTTGATTACAAAAATTCTTGATTTTTTAGGGGTGCATGAAGAAGAAAAGAAAAAGAAGAGAAAAAAAAAGGGCGAGAAGCCCGATCTTTATAAAAAAACACTATGGTATGTGCGAGGTCAATCAAAGGCTCTAGTATGGGAAAAAGTGAGCAAACAGTGCAAACAGTGTCTCTCTTGTTGTTTTAGGAAGGGACGACGAGGGAGTTGGGTTGGAACATCGCCGATAAGCCTTGCAACCTTGAAGTGTGAAGATCGGTCAGCAAAATTGGGAGAGAAGACATGTCTGGATGGTGGGAATTGAGGAAGGGAATACTTAGGATTTGTTGATAAAGAAGGAAATAGCAATGATGATAGCTCAAGATACCGACTTCGGCATCTCTGACGATTGGTATGAGGAACGTCAATCTTTGAGGGTAAATGTGAAAGGATAGAGACACTACTGAGGAGAAATTTTGATATTCCACCTCTCATTTTACAATCAAAAAGTGCAGAAAGCATCTAAACACATCTCTCGCTTCTTCGTCTCTATGTCTTTTTACAAGCAACGATGAATCCGAAACCAATCTGAGCACTTCAATAAATCAATTGAGAAACTTCACCAATACTTACCCACATCAGCTAAGACCTTTCCGGATCGAATTTGAAGCCCGGGGGGCTGAACGCTCGAAAATTTGACTTGACATTTTACGAACATTCAACAACAGCCTGTCTTGGCAGGTAAATATCTCAACTATTCACTTAGATCAATACCGAGTACAACACAACGATAACACATAAATTTTCCTGAATGATATCTCAAGGGTAGTCTTCTTCTTCAGCTATAATCCTTTTAGCAATTATTTGGAATTTTTAGTCCTAGACCTTCCACGAGGAAAGTGTGCCTCAATACCATCCAACTGATCAAGAATCCGTCAGAAGGAAAGAACTAATTGGAAAGATGATACACATATACTTCTAAGTCCAGATAATGCAAGAATGAACGCGGAGATAACGTGACATGAACAGTAAACAGCAGAGAAAGGAAGGAACGTCCTCATCATGGAAACTGGAACGCCGATTAGCCGAGCTAAGTGAAAGTCTACCACCCAGCAGGTAGGAAGTACCTTTACTGAATATATGGAACCATTGTTCGTGAACTGAGAGGGTTTCGTGTTACTTTATTTACAAATATCTGGGTAGGTTCCACCCAAGACAGTTCTGAAGCTTCGTAGAAATGAAATGCATTCCTAAATCAATACTTCGACCTCTAATATTTCGCTCCATGTAGCAGAATTTCTGCATTCTGAGTTAGGGCCCAAACGATTTCTTTCCTATAGAAACTTCATTGTAAATAAGCTACAGTCATACCATCGGTATCTATCTAGCTAGCCACGATGTGTTTCCTTCATTGGAGAGATAACAAATGCTCCATCTCTAGACATATTGTTGCGGAAAGAAGCGGGTTGAGCACAATGGAACTCATAAATTGCTTTTCCTTTTACTTCTTGAAATGAAATCTTTAGAACAAGTGAAACTAGACTCGGGGTATATGGAGGGCGATAGCTTCCTTCTGTTGAGGAAACAACTTAAACACATGGCTAGCACGAGGTGAGTCTATAATGTTCTCCTTGATATCTTTCTTTGGTATCAAAGACTCCAAGACACAAGTCAAAAAGAATCGGAGAGTCCGGCCTTTGGTTACGGAGGTATTGGGAGGAAGGGCTAGAATCCTTTTGATGTGAAAATTAGGTCGCATCTTCCCCGACCTAGTGTAAGGCTTTGACTTTGAGACACAAGGTGAGGTTAACTCTTCGGGTAATATGTAAAAGAACAAAGCCTTCATTGAGTGAGGTTTTCTGAAATGGAAATGTTGAGGTTATTCCTGAAGTTTCCGACATGGCAATCCCGCCGAACCAACTCATTCCATTACCTCACACGCCAGACATGATATTTCGTGCATATATATTACTTGAAGAAAAACTTCTAGACCCTTCCATCGATTGCTTCTAGAACATTCCTCTTCGATTCTTTGAATGGAGGCCCGAAATGAACAATATTAAGGAGACAATACTAAGGGGTTCGCTTAAATATTCTTTGGTTTTCATATCTCTTTGATACTTTTCGCGAGAAAATTTATGCTTGAACAGCTTCATGAATTTTTTCACGATCTTTAGGATATTGTATGTAATGCCTTAAGAAGTTTTTTGGCGGAGTGAAAAGGTTTAGAACGTCGCCTATAAGTTTTTGATTTCTACTTTGATGGATTTGAAAGGGAGAAATGACTTCCGGAGCTAAGATTGGTCAACTGATGCTCATTTCCTTGTTAATTTCTTGGGGGTGAAGAACAATGTTCAGATTTGAGGACAATATCAAGAGTGAGTAGCTTCAATTTGACGTACGATCTTCTTTCATTCTGTAGGAGGGCCTTTTTTTCACTTGGAATCGGATCCTCCGAATCTCCTTGTTGAACGAGTGATTTGAAACGAAACTGTAGATAACAATTTCCTTCGAAAAGTCTTCTAGAAGCCAGAATCGATGCCTGTTTCCTGTGCTGTTCTCTCTCCTTTACAGACTCCATTTTCATACTATCTTGATGGTCCAGCACTCAGTATTCTTTGTCTCTCCTTGAACAATTCCACAAATCATCCTCAAAAATTCCCTATAAATACCCCTCCTCCAACCCTCATTCCTAGACTTTTCTTCTTCACCAAATTACATTCACTTATATACAATCTTTTTACCAAAAACCAAAACCCACCCCAATAAATCAATCAAAATGCAAGGACCAGGACGCGGATGCACTCTCCAAAAAGCCGGACCCGGCCGTGGATGCAATGTTCAAAAGGGACCAGGACGTGGATGTAACGTCCAGAAGACCGCCGGACCAGGCCGTGGATGCAACATCCAACGTGGCCCAGGCCGTGGTTGCAACGTTCAGAAGGCATAAATCATCTCTTCTGAGATGATTTTGGAGGAGCGATAGAGCACACTAGATATACGACTTTCATTATCTTCCTTTCGAGACGGGAATCGCTAGATACGCTTGCGAATAACAAACACGTTTAACGACGACGAATCGGAAAGAAACAGATGAGAGATATTCGAGATAAACTTTACACATCTCTATCACTTTGCACCAATTTTCGCAATCTCCTCAATGCTGCGCACACGAACGTTCACTTAGATGGGTTTTCTAGAAAAATAGACACTTTATAAAATAGAAAAAGATTTTATCGGCACTATTGGACTTCCCATGGTCTTCAATACACACCACCACATTCGTTACGGTCATAACACATTTTGGCCCCAACTTTCACCCTTCGATTATCGGTATTTCATACCAATCCCCCTTTTTTTACACTTCAACATACATAATCGACAATCGACGATGTGATTGATCACTCATGTCGTTTTTTTCGCACACATTGCGGTTATAGGGGCGAGGATTCTTTTTCGAACAAGCTTGATGACTTCTTTCGTTTCGTAATGGAAGAGGGAATTTCGGGAAATTTTCTGCCGCTCGATATTCCTTGGTGGGACGTTGCTGTTCTTTTGGCATGGTGACGCGCCCTTTTATACTGGAGGGAATCAAACTCTTATTTTGCTTTCCCTATATTTTGACTTCTTCTTTGATGGTGAAATATGATGTGATATGATATGATCATGTGTGTTGTGTGAATATGAATTGAATCTTGATAAGGAGAGCTTCGTAGATGTATCGGCTAAATCAAGGAGGTATCACAATTATGACTTGGACTTGTAACGCCCAATGTTACTCCAACATTTCGGCTAACAACGGTTGTCACTATATTCCCCGACAGTTTATTCCTCTGAAATTTTGGAGTACTCGCGAAAATTTCAGGTGTTCGGGTTTTCTAAAACGTCTTCTGTGCAACCTTACTTGGTCGGGAGAAAGTTTCCTAGGTGTCAAAAATTCATGAAAAGAGCACATCATCAACGTTGTAAATAGCAGACAAGATAGCGCGTTCTATGTTTTGCTGTCTTGATGATATCCAGGACACTTCATATCTCAACTGGAAATACGTAGCAGTACAGCTAAGAATAATGGAATTGTTCAAGGAATGAATGCGGTACAAGATGGTCTAAAATTGGATATCAAGGGAACTCTCCCGAAAAATTTCTTGGTCGAGACTGATATGGCATCATATAATTTCAAGGTATGGATTGAAAAGCATTTTACGGGGATAGAACGTGAAAGATAAGTGAAATGAGAGACTCATATAATGCGTGGAAGTTACCTTTGGTGAATGCTCAGATCAAACCTGTGGTGTCAGGCTTGATAACTCAAAAAGCGACGTGTAAAACATTCATTGATTCATTAATTTCTTCATATTTTTCATAATTAATCGTAGAACCCAGGTGCCATATTGGCAGCCCCTTCAGCTTGTTATTTTTCCTTCAGAAAGCCTCCAGTTGAAATCCCTCCTCTCCTTCCAGTGCAAGCCAATTTAAAATCTGGAGAATGGCAACCACTTTCCTCTCAAAGTAATAACTGCCCAGTTGTTTCCCTGATCATCGGTCTCCTTCTCGACCTTGGTACTGAAAGAAATAGCACTCATAATTCCATCTCCAAACTTTTCGTTCATAACGGCCTTGTAAGCATATCCATAGTTTTGAACAATTTCATACAATCGATAGATGAGAGGTTCAACTGGTGGCATAGGACCAGCACGTCCACGGTCTGGGAAACCTCCGAGTTCGGCCTCGAGTTTTGATTGTGGTACGTCGAGGATTTGGGAAAGCTTCTCAATGTCGGCGGCAGAGGCTTGCGATTGGCCGTAGAAGAGTGCAGCAACAGCGACCTCGGAGCGGCCAAGTTGGTTGGCGATGGATTCGAAGGTTAAAGCTTTGGTGGCTTTGGCCTCAAAGAGGGTTTTGGAGGAGGTAGGAAGACGGTCGACAAGTGTGCTCTGCGTTGAATGTGTTAGTGGCGAAGAACTCTTGCCAACTCTCTTCATGTGGTGGGAGGGTGGTTGTTGGACTCAGAAGCGGGGTATTTTTGAGTGAAAGGTAAGCTTACATCGAGCGTTGCAATCTTGGTTTGATCAGCCATTTTGGTAGATTTTGGTAGATTTTGGTGAGGACTATATAAGATGTTGGTATTTGATTGAAATGATTGAGCAGAAAAACAACGTGAGATCAGAGTGATGTTTATATCTTAAGCTTCTTAGCTGTCCTAACTATGGTATTTGTCAATTGCGGGGGAGTCGATGAAGCTTGGCCTCGGATAAATTGTCATCACAATTCCGGGACAACTCCGAATCCCGCCCAGCACCAATAATCGGTCTTGAGATATCGGTAGTTCAGGTATTGGACAATTGAATAATGGGGGTTCATGAAGGATGAGGGCATCTTTGGGGTTAAGGTTCGTTGCACTCTAACATACATTACTGGGGATTCAGGCCTAAGATACAAAGAGAAGTTGACTGGTAACGCATGGCGCTGCAACCCTATGGAATGTTTGCTTTTGGGATTATCTTTTCATTGCATTTGAGAATCTGGAGTTTCAACATCTCTTCATTGTATGTTGACAGCTTGTCGTCCTTGGTCTTTGGCCATGATATCACCAACAAAGATCCCGAGATTGCTCCCGACCTATGTCTCGAGTGGAGAAGTGGAGATTTCCGTTTGTCATTCCATTGGAATGGAAACCAAGATCTTCATCTCAAAGTGTCTCTTTGTTTGCTGACGATGTGATCACCCATTTTATCATTTAATCAAACATGCTCCATAAAGTGCAATTGTCATGATTACAAGAGCAGATTGAAGATTACTACTACAACATGGTTGTGAGGTCGAAAGTTTGACTGAGAACAATTTTGCAACTGCAATTGACGAATGAAGCAAGATGTGCTCCATGTCAAGTGCAGAATATGCCAAGCGCAAACAAAAACAATAGCCACCTGTATGTGGCTTTACTGTCATTATCCGTTAGTAGCGGCCGTGAACATACCATATTTACAGGACGGAAGCGGCATTGTCAAACTCGTCGATAATCATGGACGAGACCATCGGCATCGGATTCCGTTTATGTTCTTCTGATAAGAGAGATTGTATTGGTTGTATACAGTGCGAAAAGTTCCCTCCATGAAGCAAAGAGTCCAGGATTAAACCATGGGTATCATTCATTGATTGTAACCTTCCTGTCTCCCATGGCGAACGTTGAGAGCCTCGAGAGAGCTTCTATAAGCTCACACCAATTAAATCATGCCTCATATCTATTGAGGTTCCATTGGGATAATGTTTGCCATATCACATGAAAAGCAAACCGATTTTTTCGATTAGCTGATGCCTTTCCAAGGGGGACTGTAACTCTGTTGCCATGCTACATGCATCATGCAAACACGCGTACTGAATCCTATTCCAACCATTTCGAATTAATCAATAATTTCAAGCAATTGAAATATAATAATCTGCATTATGTGCACAGGAATCCTTATTTGGCACACCAAAAGGTCTAGAAATAGCCAGGGAGACCCTTGATTTTTAAGATTGTGCGCTGTGCAAGATTTTCTTTTAAGACAAAAAGTCACACGCTTCTGTACACAGAGATGATTGTTTTCATGCCAGCTTCCATCTACCATCAACAAGTTCATTTTGCTTATACAAATTGACCTTTGTAAGCAAAGGCAATATAATTTTCAATTGATTTGGGACCCTCCTGACCTCTTCAATTTCAGTATCCTTACATCAACTTTCTCAGTTGGAAGATGGAAAATAACAAAGCGAAGAGAAAAACGACACAGGATGCCGAAAAATCCGAGATACGGATTGAAAGATGTACCGGGAAAGGGAAAAGGTCTTGTTGCAACCCAGGACATTCCTAAGGGTACTCGGATCATTGAAGAGAAGCCAATTATGACGAGGCCTAAACGAGCATCCCCAGGATTCTCTCTCCGAGGTCAATTCAATGCCCTCAATGATGAACAACGGCAAGCATTCCTATCTCTAGAAAATGTACACCCTTACAAGAATGCGGATGAGCAATACTTCGGTATCTTCAAGACGAATGGTCTTCCCATGGAAAGTGACGATGAGGGCGGTCTATTCATTGAAACTTGTCGGATCAACCACGCCTGTGACAACAACGCCTCTAGCAACTGGAACACGACTATCCAAAAGCACACTATCCACGCATTGAGAGACATCCACGAAGGCGAAGAGATCACAATAAGCTATCTTGGATCTCGCGCGTGGCCTCGCCAAATTCGACGACAAGTTCTCCAAGAGAAATTCAGATTTTTGTGCTCATGCAATCTTTGTGGTTTACTTGCCAGGGAATCCATGCAAATTGACAGAGAGTTGATGAATATCGCTCGGATCATGACTCTGATTCCAGGCACCTCTATTAGATATCCGTTGCAGGGCATCCGTTACATGGATCAAGCAGTTCAGCTACTCTCTGGCAAAGAAGTGGGTGTCAGCTTGTTGGGTGGTCTTTTTGCTGAAGCTTCTAAGATGAACGTAGGTCACGGTGACTTGGCAAGAGCTCGTACTTTGGCTGAGAAGGCAACACCTTACTTGATTATATCATATGGCAGTGACAGCGTGCAAGTGCTCGATAACCAGCATCGAGCCAACCAACCATCCATGAACATCTACTACGGCTTATCATCTATAGACTGGGCGACACCCGTCCATGATGTCCCGTCAAGTGTTGATTCAAATGGATTTGAAGACTGGCTTTGGAGAAGAGAGGGACTACAGAATTCACAAATTTATTTCGAAAGCCTAAACATTTTTTTAGTAACTCCATTTTCCCCTCATTCCTGGAACTTCCGCATAGAGACCAGACGAGCCCAGAGTTCTATGAAAATGCTGGAAAGTCCAATCAGCGACCGCGACGCCACTGGTGTTTCTTGGGCAAGATTCTGGAGTTTGACATATCAGATCTCGTAATTCTAGTCAAAGACCTTGATGACACACATGTCCAACTCTTACTCGAAACCAATGCACGAGGGATATTTCCTAAACTTCGAAAAGCGCACACGGTTGCAATTCTCTATGCGCAACGCGACGGCAAAATAACTGAACCTGATATCAGCCTTAAAAATATCGCATTACTTCAGGTATGGTACTCAAGGGATTTCCACTAGATACCCATATATTGGTCTATGTCTAACCATGTGATACAGATCTTCCCAACATCATTATCTCGCTTGATTGCATTAAGAGATCTGACTCACGAATTTTCCACGAAAAGAGAGACTGATAATGCCAGAACATGCCACGGATGTGGTAAGAAGTCATCTTCAATGGTTAAATGCAGCGGGTGTTCCTTTTTCTGTTATTGCAATGAGGTTAGTCTAACACAGTGGCTCCGCGATCATATATAATAGTGCGCATACTAATTATCATGTGCAACACGAATAGAAATGCCAGAAGAACGGCTGGTGCACTAAGGGCCACAAAAATGATTGCAAAATCCTCAAGAAGCCTGATTTGCGAGGGATGTTTTTAATTAAGTGGGAAGAGTTCAATGGCGCTGCTCAATTTCCTCTGTTGACTGTTGTGGGAAATTAAGCAGGAGATATCTATGGAACACTTGATACAGATGGAGGCTCATGAGCGAGTGAATAAGACCAGCCACTAAATTCTACTTTTTTCTCATGTTGAAATTTGAGGCACAAGTGATAGTGCTTCATTATATCCTCCATGCGTCACAAAGCTCCTTGGTTACATGCACGAAGGATCAAACCTTCTCCCTTGTTCGTTCTTTGATGTGATTTTGCAGTTTTACAAGTCACATGTACCATTAATTCACATCATCTAGAAGTCTCACATTCGCTCCGATCAAACGAATTCACTGCAAACAACTTCATTATGGTTGGTTATGTTGGTTCATCCTCCTACGGCTATTCTCATATTCACTTTCACAAAGTCTTCAAGCCAACCTGATTTTCAGATTAAGTGGTCAAACAGATCCGAAGGCGGACAATCCCAATAAGTGTATCGCGATGGCTAATCAAATGTATGCGAAGCGGCATGCGCCAGGGAAAGGTTTAGGTCTCATTGCGACCATAGATATTCCCAGGGGCACACGAATTATCTCTGAGTCTGCATTGATATTAGGACCTGAATTACTCGGAGATGATCTTCGACCTTGCATATCAAGACAATTGTCTGCTCTAACTAGTCAACAGCAACAGGATTGCTTTTCTTTCGGTTATATGCACCAGTGCACAAATGAATCCGAACGGCTATGTGCGATTTTCAACACAAACTGTCTGCCTTTGGAGGGAGCTTATATTTTAGAAACGGGCAATCCAGGGGCATCTCAAAACCGACACAGAAGAGGCGGGCTTTTTCCTAATGCATGTCGTATCAACCATGCCTGTGATCGAAACGCGGGAGTGCACTGGATTGAGAGTAGCCAACAAATCGCCGTCACAGCTCTGAAAAACATCTGCAAAGATGAGGAAATTACAATAAACTACCTGGGTCTCAATAAAATACGCAGAGCTCGGTGTGCGAGTCTCCAGAGAGATTTCGGGTTTAACTGTTCATGTGGTCTCTGCTCCTTGCCCGAAATGGAGAGCAAGAACATTGATAGACAACTGAGTGAAATACCCAAACTGTCGTCATTCATTTTTGGTCGTATTACAGCGAGCAGACGTGAAGGACCATTACGGGAACTTCATGAATTTGATCAACTAGTCCGTCTTTATAATGAGCAGGAAACCAGGATTGCGGACATGGGGCGAATCTATGTGGCTATCGCTGAGAGGGTTCTCAAGCAAAGCGACTTAGCCAGAGGAAAGATTTCCGCGGAGAGGGCAATATCTGACTTTAGAATGGTCTATGGCAGTGACTGTATGGAAATACAAAAATGGAGGTACCTAGTTGACAAACCTACTGAATACGAACTGTTTGGGCATTCAACGGCATGGAAAACAACAGTCGACGAAATACCCACCGATTTTTCTCCAGAGAAATTTGAAGCCTGGCTTTGGAGAAGAGAGCGAGTGTATTCTATGGAAGAGATAGTCGACTTTCGAAGCCGCGACGTTTTTCCACCAATCATTCACTTGCCCTTCTCAAACAATAGCGACTACTACGAGACTAACGAAGATTCTTGTTCCAGGGCACGAAATCATTGGTGTTTCTTTGGAGAGATTACTCACACAACCAAGTTTGGAAAATCATCCTTGGCAGTTAAAGACGTTGATGGCAAAGAGATCAAGCTTGCATTCGGAACCGAGGAGAGGGGAAGAGAATTACCACCAAATAGAGTTGTGAAAGGATGCACAGTTGCGATTATCAACGCAAAACCATACGAGTTTCCAATCGAGGATGAAAGATATGGTGGAAAGATTGGCATTATTCATGATGATGAACTTTGTTTGAGGGTAATGTGCTTAATATTTATATATCTCTGTAGCCCTTTTAGCTGTGCACCGCTAACTATCTGCAACAACGAATTAGATCTTCAGGCTTTCTTTGAAAGAGCTATTCGCGTTGAACGATCAGATTCAAGTGTTTTCCACAGAAACGAATGGTCTAAGAATGTGTCATGGATGTCAGAAGAGATCAGCCTCGCTGTTTAGGTGCCAGAAATGTTCAATGTTCTGGTATTGCAGTAGGGTAAGACTTGACCTAAATTTCCTTCTCCTTCTCTTTTCATTTTATATTGATAACTTCGATGCTAACCACATTTCTGTACCGAACAGGCTTGTCAAATAATTGGATGGAGTCAAAATGAACATCAAGATGTTTGTGCCATTCTCAGAAAAGAACCTGATTTGAAAAGAATGTTTCTTCTTGATTGGGATCAATATGATACTCACGTTCAGTTTCCTCTGCCAGCTTAGATAAGTATGTAGTTAATATGTATTGAGGAGAATTCAAAGCGTGATAGCATCACAAGGAATGAGGAAATAGCATCTATAAAGGTTTAACAAATTATTGCGACCAGGAAAGGTATTGTTGAACATTAAATTCTGGGCATAGCTTGGGCGAATATGCTTTTCTATTATTCTTTTCGGTTCCAACACAAGTTAATTATCCATCCTCATCCTGTACCCCCCATTACTAGCCAGTTTTTGAATCTTTGCTGTGCTTTTTCTTCCCTCATTACGCAATCTTCTAAGCCAATTCAGATCCAACTAAACCTTCACGAGGTTCAAATATCCACTTCATCAAGCTTTCACCAGATCCAAAAGCCCCAATATCCATCACACTGTTCCTCCACTCAGTACTCCAGTTACCACTATCCCGCCATGCTTAACCCCTACCAATAATTCCAGGACGATCCCACTTCATCGTACCGACCGAACTAACAGGAGAAACAGGGCGAGTACTAAATTCATCTTCATTTTGTTTTGGCCTCGGCGGCGATACAGCGCTCAGACCCGGATTACTGATTGATTGGCCGATTTGACGTCTCCCTGTATGTGCTTCGGCTTTGCCAGCTACAAGTGTGTCGGCTCCAAGCTTGCCGGCGTCGATTGCATTGCCTCCATTGGCGTGTTCTCTAACCCTAATAACCCCAAGCGAAGATCTTCTTTCCGGAATCGTCCAGCTCAATCTCGATTCCTTCACTCTATCTTGTTCTTCTTGAGGGTGCCGTTCAGTTGACACTTCGTCGAGTGTGTTGTGAGTCTTTCTTTGTGCTTGGAGGTAGCTCGCATATCCATTCATAACGCGGGTTGATACAGCGCGGTGAGATGATGAGATGTCAACGGGTCGTGATGCGTGGAGACTGCTTTCATCGCTCGTGCGAGGCGCGTATGCACCTCTGGTGGATCGGCGTTGATGTTTTTCGTTTGGAGGGAGGGATGGTTTGGATGGTACACAGCCCATTTTGGAAGATATGTAAGAGGTCTTGGAAGATTTTGTTGGAAAGAGTCTGGGGAGTCAAACTCGTCGAATTTTTATGATGGCATTCTCGAAGAGATACGGGTGAGTGAATTTTGAAGCTAATAATATTGAGGTTTTAAGTGTGACACTTCATATTCACTTGTGGTTGAATGGCGGATTATAAAATTGGCAAAATAACCAATAAACTTCATCTATTAGCAACTTTTCTTGAAGTATCATGAATAGGTCATTAAAATTCTGGATCGCATAATTATTCCTACGTCAAATAATCGAGATTAAATCTTAACTCATATAATCCACTGCTCAGTTCCTTTGTGCAAAGCACCAATTCCACAACCTCGACCAACAATCCATACCAGCAAATGACACATTGCACTTCCCTAATCCTTTCTCTGTTTTATGTCTCTTTGTACAATCATCCTGCTTGAGATTCCTATCCATCTCACACATCTCATCCATCACAGCCATAGCATCGACTACCAACCAGCCTTCCCCTTCCGCATCCCCATCACCCTTCGAACGCGATTCCTCTTCTTGCTCTATTTTTCTGATCATCTGCGTATTCTCAAGACGCTTGATAACCTCTCGTGCTTCTTCAATCCTCCCTTCTTCTTTAAATTTGCGAGCTTCGAGAAGCAGGGGAATTAAACTATTTGTAGGCCATGCGAGATGAGACATTTCTTCCCAAATCTTAGGGCCACTAGTGATTTGTATCTTTTCCATGTCATCATTCCACTCGGCCGTGGCTATAGGGAGAGATGTAGATGCATTGTTGGGTATTTCTGTGCCCATTGTATTTTAAATCTGTCTTTGTTGAGATGTGTAAACCTAACTTAAAGTGTCGAAAAGTTTGTAAGGGAGAACTGGGAGTTTGCATAGACACTAATGCGGTTTATATATGAAAGTTGAGAGATAACAACCATGAGGTTTTTCTCGGGAAGTTCATCATAGACCGTGAAACACGTTATCTGCAGTGTTATTCACCAACTCAGCAGTAGTGCTATGGAATTCTGATCCAAATTTCAACACGCCGACCATCGATGACTCAACCACATCACGTTATTCAATCATAACCGTATGAATTTGAATATTCATAGAGATCATCGTGGAGCCTAGAATCTGAACCCATCAGATTGACTTTGTTTTGTGTGAACTTCAACGCATTGCGTATTACATTTTCAGCCCGTCTAGATGTACAGAGTGGGTAACTAGGTTTTCTTACTACCATCCATCGTCCCGCTGCTCCTTCCACTACTTCAATTTCCTCCTACTATCCCTTCATCAAATAACCCACAAATTTATCTCACAATCAAACATATTCTCCTCTCCATTCCTAGAGCCATCGAAAGGAAGATTATCTGCGAAACGAACCTTTCTCTTTGTGATTCTATTTGTTGCCCTGGAATGGTTAGCAGAGGCTTCATTATTGTGTCAACACATAACTTACTTCCTAAGATCATCAAACGATTCCTGCGAGCCAAAGTCCCTGACAATTATCCTAAAAACAATTAGCATGCGCTTCATTTTGCATTTGAACAAGTGATATTTACGATCCAGGCCTGTTCAGCGATTCTTGAGAGTCTATGCGTCTGACGTTATCTCCATGTTTGTTCTTCAACTGTATAACGACAAGTGAGCGAGGATTAGTTGTGTTATTTTCTGCTGTGGTTTCTTGTTGTGGAGTTGAAAGAACGAGCATCGATTTGGATCTTAGAGGCGATGAGACTTGCAAGGTGTTTTTTCCAGTTTCACTTAGATGAGGTGTAGCAGTTTGAGGCTGGTCAAGTGTGATGGATTTGCTGCGGGTTCTAATAAGTTGGTCTTCGGGAGGTGTCAAAGTCGACATTTTAGTGATTTTATTCTCAATCTCAGTGATTTATTTATGTCTTTGAGCTAGTTTGTATATTGCAAGAGAAGATTATTTCATTGCGATGAGAAGGCAGCTCTTAAATGGTCTTTCTAAAGTTGAGAGAGATTATTCATAAGTTAAAATGTTGGTCATTTGCATCACACCACTCACTCATATTCTCCAAAGAGATTCAGTCATAAATCATGAAGAAACAATCGTGATTAATAAATATCTAGAAGGAATCCTAATGACCAGTCCTAGTCCTGGTAGATAATGACCTCAGATATAGGGATAACACTTGTGCAGCTACTCAAGCATATGCTGTATCAATATCTGACGAGGTCCCCATACATCGCCGACACAACTAATCATAACGAGAGCCGGTCTTCAATTTCTCACCTTGGTTTGGAAATCCTTTCGGTACAACTCGCAACGAAGTAATTACTTCTCCCTTTCCCTCACTAATCAACTGATCAGTAGCCCAATGAAATCCCTGACCGCATCGATATCCACCCGTGATCCTAGACCATCGACATCCTCTAGGACATGTATTACCGATTTTTCGAAGTTGTGATTTTGCCCATGCATCTTGAACGAAAAATTCTTGGGATGCAATATTCATATTCTCAATTCCTAATTGAGAAACAGCCATTTCTTGATCTTGTTGGCTTTCTAATCCTGGAAATTGAGCGACAGAAGCTTGCTGCAATCGAAGTCTATCAGTTAGTGATCGTGATGAATTTCCTGATTGATTATATGGGAATTAGCATACCTGTTGTGGTGGTGGTATAGGAGGTGCTACACCATACCCATTCTGTCCACCTGTCGATTGAAGCTCCCTGAGACTAGGCATAGGATTTCCGGATTGTACAAGCGAACGGAAACCCCTGCCTCGAGCAATTCTTCTACGAGCTTTTTGCATTGCTTTATCCTGCTGTGCCTTGCGCCACTCTGGATCTTGGCGTGGATCAACATACTGGGCTGCCTGACCACGAGGGTTTTGAAGTTGAGCTCTGGCTTCAGCTTGGTGGGCATATATTTTAGGTGGACCTTGTCTGTTTAGAGGCATACCGCTAGATGGTAAGTTGCTTCCGAATGCTGGATTGGTTCCGAAAGATTGTCTATGTGGCACTCGGAGTCGAGGTCGTTGGCCTGGATAAACGCGTGAAGAATCTTGAACTTCTCGTTGCAAATACACTGGTGTTGTTAGAGTTGGCTGAAATTGAAAAGGGTTTTGTGGTCCAGGACGATGCAGTGGTTGAACGTGTGATTGATTTCGGTTAATGAGCTCAGTGGGTCTTCTCGTTTGAGTTTGTGATTGTGTTCGTTCAAGAAATCCGGCTGCTCTCTGTGATTCAGATACAGATTGAATTGATTGCGCAGATCTGAGGGATGGATCAGGCTGTGATTGCAATTGTGGAAAATTCGGAGCTGCTTGGCCTTGACCCATTGGTACCGCAGTAACTCGTGATTGGGAGCTTCTAGTTTCAGTGATACGGGATAGTGTTTGACCTGTTTCGCTTCCTACATCAAATTGTAGTCGGCTAGGATTCGAAGAATGAGCGGAACTCGGACGACTAGATTCTGTCATACTTTGGTTGGTAAAATGTTGATTTTCAGGAAGAAGATTATTAGGAGCTTGACTGATACCACGACTTGCGGAAAATTGTCGTTTATCTGCAGTGAGTTGAACGTCCATTTCACCAAGACTAGCAGGAGCTTGACTTAAACTAGAACGGATAGAAGCTTGATCTGCAGTAAGTGGCATATCCATCCTATTGGGTCCTGTAGGGGCTAGACTTCCTTGTGGAAATCTACTTACACCACCGTCATCATGACCTCCCCTTGCATTCTTCTTCTTAGCTCCCATATTGATGTCCGAACTTACTGAAGATAGAAGAAAGGTGATGGTGGCTCGAGGAATCCTTGTAGGTAGCTTTAGATGAATATAAATTGTAATAATAAAGTGAAGAGTTTTATAATGAATTAAAGTAGATATTTAACGGGAGTGAGTGCATTTACTAGATGTCGAATCTAAGAAGTTACATATAAATAGACAAGTTGCTACGACAACTTTTAAATTACTATTGAGCTACTACTTCATTGGCAATTTTTGCAATTTGAGTTAACAGTAACCAGATTGACGTAGCTGTACGAATGATTGTGCACTAAGATACCACACCTATGCTCAGCCAAGAGGTGCTGCAATAAAGATAAAAACAACTACGGCATCCCAAAAATACATCCATTGTTTGACCTCGCTGCGATCATCGTAGTTCCACTTAGAAATAGTGACTTTTATGAAATATATCATAAAGATTTTCGGGGGTGTACCCCGCTTCCATACATATTGTAGTAATTGGAATGACATTAGAAATAGCTCAAATAATTATGTAACTAGGACTACAGCCCGAAACGATTAATCGACTAATTATTATCCTAATCAACGTTCGCGATCCACCTCGTCGGTTCACTTCGACGTACAAGATGATGGTATAAATAAGATGCATGAGAATCTCTGAGGTACTGGCCATGGAGCACCTGTTCTCTGGGTATTATGTGTGAAAAACTTTTGGGTGTATCCCTTCATGATCATAAATCCTTTCATCATCATCTACCCCTATTGCTCCTCAATCTATACCACCTAACAAGCCATACAATCAACGCCAGCGTTGACACTAATCTTATGCCAGCACCGATCCAAACGCCTTTCTTCATTGCATCATAATATCCTTCTAACATAATGCCTACTGCATGTTCCTTCGTCTTGTTCTTTCCTATTAATGGCCCTCCACTTTCAAGCATCGCAACAGCAGTTGTTTCTCCATCCATTGCTGTCTGATTACCAGTCCCATCGTGCGCACTCCCTCGTAATCGTTCCGTGTTTCGTTTCTTGATATTTCGTGTGAGCAAATTGATAATTATTCGTATATCTGGTGAAGTAAAAGTGGGATATTCCCATAACTCAACCGAATCGTGAGGCGGTAATTGATCGATAAAATCAGCCACCATACCCAAGGTTAACCCCCAAAGTAAGAGTGGTCTGTCGCTCTGTGCTTTCTCCCCCCCTTTGAACCAAGTATAAGCTCTTTCAAAGATGCTTTTCTTAGGTTGCGATTCTTCCGAGAAATACTCCTTTGTTGAACTGCAATACAATGATTCACTGGGTCGTAATCGAATGGCCGAGAACCTCATTTTGCCAATGATCGGCTTCAATATGGTTTTCACTACTATGCCCCCTTGCTTGGCAAATCGATCGGATACATTGACATATTCGTATGTGCGGACTGAGGGCGAAAGAAGGACTCGGAGGGGAACCCAATGTGTTGATGCTATTTCAGCGGGCTGTAGTTGGAGTGGTGGGAATGCTGGGCAGATCCAGATGAAGAGGAACGGACAAAGTACCATTATTCTGTTTCGGAGACAGTATCAGCAATTTTCCTTCAATATTTCCTGCCTTACTGTAGTGAATCAAAATTCATCCGCCAAAGGTAACTCACGGCACTGATCCCCAGCTTGTAGAAACCACCCTCTCAGGCAGGTTCCCAACATATACACATCTCTCCCCCCTTAAATCCAACCCAATTTCCTCACTCGTTTCCCTCACTGCAACGTCTTTATCACTTGCATCACCAGGATCCCTCTTTCCTCCCGGTAGCGCGACATGACTCGTCCATCGATCTCCTTCTCTTGCTGCGCGTTTGATAAATAACAATTCAGGATCACCGTTCTTCACCCATGATTGTTCAAAGAAATTTGCCAGTCGCTGGTCCGTTGGTGGTTCTGGATATGGAAAGATTTGAGGAGCCGTAGGAGGAAGGTCATTGCGAGAAGGACGAATACGTAATACTAGAGCTACTGATGCGCGCCTGGGACAATTTGGTGGATTAGGTATGTATGGATATGGGTTTTGTGAGATGTGGAGGAGAGTGTTGTGGAGAGAAGTGGTAAGGGAGGGAGGGGATTCGAAGGACATTTCCCTTTTCCCCGTGTCTCAGGGACAAACAACCGCAGAGCAGGAATTAAAGGGATGATGTTGTGATTTGTTGTACGAATATTAATTGACACAGCACAGAACAATTAAAAAATACCGGTGAAGCTGTTCGAAGCCGCGGTTTCGCTTATCTTATCTGGATTATAGGCTGTTCAGGCTGTGACGTGGTGATTAAAGGCGCCCGAGTGGATCACGATAGGCTAGGGATAGGGGAACAGGTGCTAAAAAGCTCGTGGCAGAAAACGGCAGGTAGGTACCAGATAATGGAAGATCGTACAAGTGGACGAGAAAGAAGCAAATTTTGATTTAAATCCAATTCGGTTGTTTATATAATATCATTTCCAAGATAGATAATCACACCTTTCCCTTCGATTCGAACTCATCTCTTTCAAATTTCTTCCTTCCGAGGTTATATGCACCATAGTCGTGGGCATGAACGTACGGCGAACAGCTATCCACTCGCCCCACACAAGTACATGTATCCCAACCAGCCCCCTTAGATTCGAAAATAAGACGGGTCTGCGTTGGTTCAGCAGGCGGTGTCGGGTCCTACACATGCATTATTTTGAACAAGAACTATTCTGTGGTTTGAATGTCCAGTTTAGTGGAGAGCGAACGCCTATCTCCAGCGAGAAAGTTAAAATTCAAGTTGACCAAATTTGTAAAGATTTTCGGGGGCTCTGGGTAGTGCGATATGCCCTGACTGCATCTGCTGCGAACTGGCTCAGAGACGGAGGACGTCATAAGCCTTCTGGGTATATAGTGGGCATCATCCCAACTTCATACCCAAGGTTGCGGATCTGATCGTACGAAAGTGTCTTCGTATTGACCCGTTGGGAACATATTGCTTTTGGCGATCGTTTGTTCTTTGATTTGGGGAACCCAGATGCAAAGATGCATTTGCAGAACATCATGCATGCATGAACTACCGGTGGGAGCGATGTGTTCGTTGCCATTTTAGAACAATATCCATCGTGTCGATAGTGGAGCCAGAAGAGATGGATCAGGTTCTAGAAACCTAGCATTTGGGTGGCAAATAGTGTACCTGTCGATCGATAGTGTACGAATAGCTGGAAGGTAACTTTGAGACAAATCTTAGTCTGCGTTCTCTGCCGGCAGCTAAACGGACCACCTCTTCAACTTTCTGCGGAGATCAATTCCAACTACCATTATTATATAGAACATTGTACCGGATATCCTCCGAAGGTGAGCGAGTCTCATCCAATCGTGCGATCGATAATGGTCTTCATTCAGCTAGCTAGGCTTCTCTTGAAAGACACCGCCGATGATATTTTTATACAACGGATTCCCGGTATAAGCATTTCTAAAAACATGCCAACCATATCATCGGATAGCAGGGCGAATTTCCGAGTCGAATAGAGGTACCAAGCCAAGTCAATAAGTTAGAAACTATAACTTTGTCAAGCCAGTCAATCTGTTGCTCAATTGATCTCTAATTTTAGAAGGCTTCTGTCCTTGATTTCCAATCATTTGTCGTCAAGAAACTTCGTAGTCGGGATATCGACCGCGAGGATTCCTTCTCGGAGCAGGTGGTGGAGCATCGATCGTAAACTTCACAGTACGTGTAGATTGCTGTTTCGATGACTCAATGAAGCCTGGTGGTCTTTCATAATTTGGGTAATAGCCAAAATTTGATTGCAATGGCTGCTTTTTGACAAGCGGTTCTATATTATCCTGCGGCCTGGCTGGAGATATTTTGCATTGGGGCCCTGCTCGGGGTTTCTTATTAGGAAGGCAACCAAATGCGAATCTCGGTCCGCCTTTAAATTCTGGAAGCGGTCTGATAAGTTGTGACTCTGGCTGTTTTTTTACTGATCGGGAATGTTGAACAAGAAGGTAGTATCCAGCAGGTTTGTCTGTTGAGACAGGAATTGGAAGGTCCAACCTCATTTGTTCCTGCGGCTTTAGCTTTGGCAGTGGCTCTTGAGTCGTGACGAATGTTGCACTGGAGTTTATGAGGCTCAGTCCGTCGTTAAGAGTAGATTGTAAAGATACAGGTTGGAGGAATGGAGGTAGCATCGATCGCCCGAAGTCTGGGTTGAATCCTTGAGCACTCGCCATAATAAATTCAAGAAGATTTGCTTTTAAGCTCTCAGCATTGCAAATTCAAGAAGGAAAGCTGGGTGAAGACGGGGTATATAGAGAGTATTGGGCCTCAATGTCCAAGATGCAAGTCTAACACAATGTATTGTACAGATTCGAGACGTAGAAGGAATGAGATTTTAGAAATTGTAAGGCACGATGTCAAATGAAACGGTATGGAGTGTGAGGTGATAGGCTTTATACCTAGCCAAATTTGACCTAAACCTAATAATTGTCATGTCCCGCCAGAAAAAACCAGTCTTGATACCAACGATAATCTTAACTAGATTTGAACGAAAGCATCATGCAATACATTGCAACGTGCGGAATCCAAAATCATTATCGCATACAAGCTTTGGACTGCCGATGTCATATACAAGCTTTGTGGTTTCACATCTTGAATCTGGCATTTGGATGTTCGTTGGATCTTTGGAAACTTCGAAAGTTAAGATCGCTCGTGCAACACCGGGATTGCAGCTTGGCAAATGCTTGTAGTCGTTGACCATTGTGACCAATAGAGCGGGATATATGTTCAATGGTCTTTCAACCGTCGTTTCAGAATTTGAGATGACATTTTTGTCTCTGAAAGATGAGACGACATGAGACCTGAGGGTTGCTGAAGATATATACCTAGGTAAAGAGATATATTAGATATATGAAGACGGGTTAAATTTACGAATTGATTAGGAAATTCAAAACACTCTGAAGTAGTAGGATTCCAAGGGAGTGGCTTAATGTGGCTGTGATTGTTGGTACTAGCGAGGCCGCGGCCATTGCGTTCAGGTTGCACCACTTTTTGTGACCGCGGTCAAATTGTTTCCAACAACAAACCAAGATATCACAGTACAGGAACCTAAGTAGGTAACAATTCGCATGAATATGTTCTCTGTAAAGTATTCAATATGCCTTCTGCAATTACTATATCCGCCATAGACACGGAATCAGCGATATGTTCAGTTGAGAGCTCAGTTAAAACTGTCTTCGCAATCCCTGAACTTTTAGAACTCATCCTCCTCCAGCTTCCATTTCTCGATCTTGTTCGAGCGCAAATGATTAACCAAAATTTTCATGATGTTATCGAATCCTCAAATTTACTACAACAAGCTCTGTTCTTTCGTGCATCTCCAGCTTCATCATTTCCACGACCCAATCCTCTCCTTCAACCTTGTCATAACGCTCAGTTCCTAGACCTACGATCGACTCAAACACGATGCAGGTATCTGCATAACCCGCGAGGTCGGCGGATGGCAGATTGGAGCAAGTGGCCTGCTATAGATTATAGAGATGGATTTAAATTGAATATACAACCTACTAATGAGGCTGTCAGAAGGGTAGAGGCTAGTTGGAGGCGTATGTTGATTGTTCAACCACCCATTGAAGAATTAGAAATGAATGGCCCACCATCGCGAAAGATTAAAGATCGATTTGGTGTAATAATGGAGGAGCTGGGAAGCCCATTGGGAAAATTGAGGTGTGTGGATTTTGAGATCTTTACAAGTGGGAAGTCCCGTATGATTGTTGAGAAGCAAATGAAACGCATGGCGCATTGATAATTCAGTGTTTCCTGAGTTGTTCTTTATCTTCAACACATGCAGAGATATCAAATTTGATACTACTTGTTTTTTCTGTCTAGAAAATTAGGAGAATCCCTCTCAAATGGTTGAGTGTTGGTAGCTTCAGTGGTATGTAACTTCCACATTCAACGGCAGTAGATGGTTGACAAAAATCAAATAACTGTTCGTACATTTTCACTCTGCCTCAACCCTTCCAGCAAAGTTTCTTTCGCATGGCTATACTGGCTTTGATACTCTTTGTACCGTCTTGTCATCACTATTCCCAGATCATTTATGTTTCCCCTTATATCGATCACTGAAATAGTCAGATAAAGAATTTAGAATAACCATCATCTCCAATTGCAACCATAAACTGCTCTTGTCAAAATAAGATACACACTAGTCATTATCTTACATTTTCCCATCGACATTTGAGAAATCAATTGTTGAGAATTAGGAACTCCCATCTATATTATGCTTCAGTCCCGATCATGGCCGGCTATCATATCACCAGCTAAAGGCGACAGATATCGGTCTTTCCTAGAACTATGGTGGCTAGGCTCATGAGAATGTCGAGATCTATCAATATAGGGAGATCCTGTTCGACTTCCATGCCTACTGTGTCCTGATGTCCTTTCTCTAGAATGCGGTACACTTCCAGGGCTTAACAGACGCCTCACCCCATCTCCACCTCTTAAGAATCCAACCATATCTGCAGGTCTTTTTCCTTCCTTATCTCTCGCTTTTGGATCTGCACCTGAATCTATCAATAGTCTCACCATGTCTTCCTTCACTTTTGCATGTACTCCCTCAATCAAGTCAACTCCAGCGATCGCTCGATGCAATGGACCTCGTCCCTTTTTGTCGCTGACTCTTACATTGGCATCGCTATTGATCAAGATTTTCACAGCCTCAACGCAATCGTGTCGACACGCCAATAATAATGCGGTAGAGCCTTTCTTGTCCCTAGCTTCAATATCTGCTCCTTTTGCTAACAGATATTTGATTGTATGCGGATGGCCCCATCTAGAGGCAGAGAGGAGTGGTGTATTACCCCAACCATCTTTGGCCTCCAAATATGCTTCATGTTCTACCAAAAGCTTCACCATTTCCAAATCTCCAATTCTGGCTGCGATATGGAGAACAGTCTCTCCACCTTTTGGTGCCATCGAAGTGTCAGCTCCAGCCTCCAGCAATAAATCAGTTGTTTTCACATGGTGTGTTTGTACTGCCGCTATCAGAGGCGTAATATGTTGTGACCACACATTCACGTCTGTTTTCTTCACTACATCCTTATGGCGGGAACTCTCTGATCGTGGTCGACGTGGAGGATCAATGAGAATATCAAGAACCTCCATCTGTCCTGCACTACTAGCCGCGACGAGTGCTGGCGCCATATCTATCTGATGATCTTGGGAAAGAATGTTTTTGACTACGCTTGTATTTCCTTCATATGCTGCCTTGGCTAATTCGGTTGATGGAGAAGTGGCTTTCTTCGAAAGGTAAGCTGTGGCTTCCTTTATCGCGATCGGCGCGAAGGTCTTGAGGATAGTATCCATTTTGGTTGTGATATGAATATAGCAATTTTTCTAGTGGATTGGTCGCGTTGATATGTAAGATTTCCTGCTACACAATGTGTGACGACCAGATATTTCCAAGCAACAAAGCTGTCGTTAGCTTTCAATTAAATGATTCGGGGCGAAATGTCAGGAGTTTCAACCGTATCGCCACATACAATCATGAAAGTTACCAGGAGAGTCTCGTGTGCTGTTTCCATCTATCCAGGCAAAATAAGATTTCGAAAGTCGTTCAACTGAAATCAGCTGACAATTGAGATTATGTCTTGGAGATGTATCTAAATCATACGATGTCATCATCTCGATATGCAACATTCCAGCCCGCCCCTACGAAAATGACAGAGTGTATGGGTCAAGTGTTTATGGAAAATCTTATTCGCCAGGTGATTGCCTTTAAGAGAAGTCTTGTACAACGTCAGTTCAGCTATAGCCTTGGCTCGTCGTATGATGAAATATCACATGGTCGGGATTGTGGCTTTGCGCTTAATTTATTCGACGTATCATATTCATGTGATTAGTCCGAGGTATTCAGGTATTTGATTGAAGTTCATTCACAGATTTAGATACTTTCATTAATGTGAGAAGCTTCTCAATTATTTTTTCAATCCAGATAGATGACGGACCAAAATATCTTTATTACGATCATGTTCAAGATATGGCATCTTCAATCAACACTCTCTCATGCTATTTCTCGGCTCAAAGATTGTTACTTCGACGAATGAGTGATCTTATCGTATACCCATCAAGAGACTCGCTTATAAAATCATAATAAGTCGATAAAACGGCTTCCGTGTCAAACGGGGAGGGTGCCTAGTACTTGACACTTCTTATAGTATGATCAGAATTGTCAACAACAATCACTTTTACCTCACGCTAAAGAACTGATCCAGGCAAAGCATATAAATCCGGCAGATCACTTTTTTTTACCTACAAACACTCTTCATCGTTCTTTCTCGTTGCTTCCAGATGGTGGCGCCAGTGTTTGAAAAGCTCGTAATTGGATTGAAGAATACAACGTCTTCGACTACACGCTTACACTCCATGACTTTTCGATAACTTGGTGCTATTGTAGAAAGAGACTCATGCAGTACAAATTTCTCAAATCCCATCCTTATTTGCTTACAGTGGCTCAGTAGGAAGACTATGGTTAATATGGAATTTAAAAGAAAATGCGGGACCGTGTGTGTCACTCAAGCCATGAGAAAGAAGAAAGCATATATAGTGAGTGAAGTTTGCTTAGAATAATTGAGCAATGAACATAATGAATCCAACACCCAGATTGCGAGTGGATTAGATTGACGATTTCACAAGCCACTCCATAGGTGAGGGTTTTTTGTAGGAGTCACTTTATAAAGCTCTGTTGATATGGATTGGGGATTTGAAACTTTCAAGCTCGCAATAAAAAAATAAAATTTTATTGATCAAGGCAGAATTTGCAGTGAGAAGAAATATCAGGAATCATTTCTAGATGGCCCTGGCATGAAGAGGCAATATTCATCCGTCTGCTCCCCTATGCCCTCTCTACTCTGATGACAATAATGAATGTCGCAAAACATACAACTCATCAATAGAAGACAGAAAATATAAATTCATTACTACTTTCAAAATCCTAACATGCATACATGAATCCGAATCAAGTAGTCAGACGTCATCATGAAAGTTATCGGACTCGCCTAGTCAATCGAACGACTAAGGTCGATAGTCTCTAATAGCCGAAATGAAAACTACTAAATAGTATATTAATTCCTATTAGAAGCCGATAATATATAAAGTACAAATAAGCTTGACAGTATTTGAATTATATAAAGTTAATAATGAAAAATTAAAAGAATATAGTTATCTTATCTGAAATCATTTAATATTAACTTGAATCCTTTCAAGTTGACTCAATGATTCAAATTTGTTCAAAGCTATGATTTAATGATACGTTTCAGAGAACTTATGTGATTCTCAATATAGAATTCTCGAATGTCTAAAACTCTTTATTAAGATGATAGAGATTTCTATTCGTAAGTCTCTTATACTTTATAAGCCTATAATCTAATCTTTTAATTCGAATCAGTTTGAAAGACAATTTGTAAAATAGATACCGAATGATACTTTTCCCCAGTATACTAACTACGAACAGCAGAGTACACCTATTCCACGCCTCAACATCAACGGTATATCTTCGTTTAATAGAGAGGAATGTTTAAAGAATATCGTCGTTGTGATAGCGTTGAACATGTAAGAAATTCCGAGGATCTTGCTTAGTGACCTGCGAGCATCTGCTTTTTGGGTTTAGATATATCCTATTTGATGGAACATACATCTGTGCATGGTGAACGAATTTCGCCAACTGAATTATCACTGTTGGTTAGGCTTCAGGTAGGTTGGGGTTTCTTCCTGGTTGATTATTTCCCCCCTGTTTTCAAATACTCAATTTTATAATCCTTCTCGTCTATGACATCCCACTTATTACTTATCAGACTGCCGTATGCGATTCATAACCATCCCTGTGTTAGCGCTTATACATACACGAATCCATTTCAAATACTGTATAGATCTTTATACAAGTTTGCTGTAAGAGTCACTATGCTCATCGAAAAGCCATGACTAGACTAAAAATGCTTCGTATTCCCACAATTAACCTTTATTCAATACTCACAACCCGAGTGCAATTGAGACTAAACTCTGCTGTGCCTTGAACATCTTTGTACAAATCAAATGCCTCAACAGAACTGGCTGCCATACCAACTCGTTTAAATGTTTCGTCGATTTTCCTTAGTATAAGTGCAAAATATCGTGATGTATCCTCCGGGGACGCATAGAATAAGAAGTATTCCATGCCTCGCGCATGTAAGCAAAATAAAATTTCATCGATATCTTCGTCAAAACAGATACCCGCCTCGCTCATGCACGACTTGGCAGCTACAACTTTTCCCTCCCCCATCTTCCATGACTTGAGCACTCCTTTTATAAGCAAAGAGCCCTTCACAACATCGCCGAACTCATTAGATGTGAGACTGTCCGTCATTCTTACGTCGTCGATTCCAAGCGGGATCCTGGGATATGTCCGAGAACCTAAACGGGTAGTGACAGGGTCAATATTTCCAATCTGATCGGGATGCTAGAACTTAATTCGTCCGTTTACTGAAGCCCAAGACCAGGATGGTGCTCTATACAAAGTTTGACGAGAAGATGGAGCTTCAGCGTACCAGAATATTTGTGTTTCAAAATCAGAAGCCCACAAGCCTGCCAGATAGTTATCACCTGTCTTTGATTTAATCCATTGGGCACATCCAGAGATAGCTCTCAACTTATCACTGTCATATGTGAAGTTTCGGTGAGAATAGAATTCGACAAATTTTAGCCAATAGTCCATGCATACTTCGCTTTCAGACTCAGCTCGAGTTCTCATAATCTTATGACTAGTATAGTACTAGACCACCTATATCCGCCCCCCCGCTTATTTTATAGTATTATATATTACACTATCCTTTTTTAATATTAAATATTAAATTAATCAAGAATTATAAAATTATTAAATTTGAATAAATGAATAATATATTTTTATATTATTAATATATATAAAAATTATTTTATTATTAACTTTCAATCTATTAATATTTAGTATACTAGTTATTTGCTATAATATAAACCTCAATTTTAAAAGGTATATTAACTCTTAAATTATTAAATAATTCTTTATTTAATATATTCCAAGTTGTTTATAAATAATTCTTTAGTTTTTAATAAGTATATTTTGATTTGTTTTTCTTAATAATAATATTAGGAAATATCTTATATATTCTTATCTTTAGGGTTTATTATATATACTTTATAGAATTGAAATTAGAGGAATAAAAAGATCAATTCTTCAATAAAAGAATCTTTTTTTCTTGAAATCAATCTTATACTTTATAGGTATAATAAATAGAAACATTATTTTGTATAAATTTATATTATAAATCAAACTTTTCAAAAATAGGATCTATTTCAGTTTTAAAAACCTTGAGATAGGATTTGATATTATATTTATATTTTATATTTTCAAAATCCCTATTTATTATATATAGATTGCTTTTTTTAATATTCTAAAAACTTTTTTAGTATATAATCTTTATATTTTTATTTGTATTATATATTTCAATCATTTCTGAATCTTATTTTTGAAAGTTAATACAAAAATACTATTCTAATCTTTTTCCTTTTTTTTTTTATAAAATATTTATATAATTATATAATTAAATCTCATTCTTTAATTATTAATTTCTTATAAATTAAGTATTATTTAAATTATTTAGTAGTGTATATTAATATAAATTCTAAATTCTTTTTATATTTTCAATTGATTATATCATATTCAATCAAAATCCTCTTAATAGTTTTAATATTATAATTAAATCTAATCTTTTGAATAATTTATTTATATATAGTTTTTGAAAACAATTATATATATTATAGTAGTATTTGTTTGTTTTATTCAATATATAATTTAGATCAATTAGTATATAATAGATATATATTATTGTTATATATTAGATTTTGTAAAAGAGTGTATTGTATAGTTTTGTGAGAGAATTTAAGGCTCTTCACAATTTGATAGAAATTGAAGCCTTTTTTTATTTTGCTAACTATTTTGTTGTGTATATATGGAATAAGATATTTATAAGGATCATTTTGTGTATTTCCAATATGTTGTATATTATAAATTGAAAATATAATTAAAATAATAAAATGTGATTATGGGAGTGTAACGCGTGAAAAAACGCGTTTTGTGGAGTTTCGGCTAATAGAAGTGCACGGTGACTGTAAGATAGTCTGAGAGACGTCCGGGAGAATCTTTGTGATGACCGATAAGGGGATTTAATGGTCCATTCGAGTTGATCAGTATCGAGGCACAATCCCACCCCACTTGATCCTTGTAGAATACAATCGTTTTTGGTGATAGGACACGCTCTTGAAAGGTCCATCCACGAGTATGGTTCATTGATACGATCATTGCCTTGCTGATTGTTCTCAAATACAATATTAGCAATACCCAGAGAACAATCATCTAGGTCATATTTAATGATAAAATCTGACTGCATCTTTGGATTTGTCTTTGGGCATTGAAAAAATCCTCCATGGACAGACCCAGCTGCAGCGGCTGCAATGGTCAAGGTGGCACTCCCATACACCTCGTGCATTGTTATACATTCACGTCTCAAGTCTTCCCCATCGTCGCCTTCTTGAATGATACACAGAGAGTCGATCCAAAGGAACTCGAACCCAAGATTTCGAATAATCTGAATCGCGTCTTGCAAGGTCTTAGGTAGAACAGAAATTGGGAATATTACGCTCATATTCGGTAGTTTTGTCATTTCCTTGGTGAGAAGAATGTTTTTTCGCCTTCCCCAACAGTAACTGAGGGCAACATAAGCGCCTTCGTGACCAGTCGGTGGAGTGAAAAGTGTTGGTTCAAGCCCATCATGAGCACCAACTCTGATGACGCGAGATGGTAGGCGAGATATCACGGGGGAATTGATTGTGCAATTCGGATGGCAAAGAATGCACTTGTTTAACCATGATTTTATTAATCTTGAACATTCTTCCGTAGCGAAATTCGCAATGAAAGGCCTTCTCAAGAGAGATTTAGCTGCAAGATCATCTGTTAATTTTAGTCTTCTATAATGCTATTTACTGGGAAGATATAACTGACCAGCAATCGTTAAAAGTGCCAGCGTGTGAGAGAAAGGGTTGTCCACATCTCTGTCGCAGCCATTCAGAACTCTTATAGACTCTATATCCCCTACATTGGGAGATGCAGAAAGATTCGATGGTAGAATCCGACGGATACCATGTAGACGCACAGGCATTGATGGGGGACCGAGATCAAAATTCTTCTCAAGTAGGATACAAAGGGGGCAATCAGACTTTGCAGCGGCGAGTATTTCACTTGGTGTTCCATGCGTGAAACCGTTACTATTTCGCAATGACGCAATATTCAGTGCTTGACATTTGTAACAGAGCCTTGTATGTGGGTGTTTTGAGAATAGAACTATTAAATCCCTTGACCTCAATAACAGAGATCTAAGAGAATCTGTCAGAGAATTAATTACGAGATTTAACTTTTGCTTTAGGTCCATATCTTCGAGGATGCGGTCAAGTTTGTAGGACAAGCAATCAATAACACCTTCAACATTGTGAAGGCCCTGTCGTCAAATTTAAGCCGGATATCATTTGAATGTCTGGTAACACCGCTTTGAGGCTGTATGATCTGTGCTACGAAAAGCGTTTGACGGTGGGATTTATTGGGTATGCTTGCACGACCAATCGCAATGCGAATGCAATTTGCCGTACAAGCGCGGGCGTAAATCCTTCAAATTTCCCCAAAAGAAGAGGGAATACTGAACGGGGGTGACTCAATTTCAGAATGAGGGCGGTTCAAACCGTGATGTAGAAAACTATAATCCTTACATCAAGCGATATATTTCCAGATTTTCTACACTGCAATATGACAAATTTCAGACACAAAATCTCGTTGAGATCTGCAGTATGTATACTATTATACCATCAAGATTCAGGTAGATATCTATAATCATAAGAATATAGTATCGGCCATGTAACCAATATAACTTTCTCAGAAATAATCCGAGAAGAGCTAAAACTTCGTCGTCAGTACGTATCAACGCACTTTCGTCTGAGACCAAGAACATCTTTGAGGGGATGAATATCCAAGTCTGGAAATGAGAAAACTAAAAGTGAAATAAAACTTTCATTCTATGCCTAACAAATGTTGAATATGACACAGAATTAAAGGCAGACAGTATCGGTACAACATGAACCCCCTTGTCGCTCAACAAAGGACGCTCTAGTTCGACCGTAGCAAAATCTGTGAGTAGTTCAATTTGGATGGATTAGGTTGCGCATAAAAGAAATTTTGAATTTACAGCAAAAGAAGATAGCCTGGCTTGGAACGGCTAATTGCTGTAAAATCAGATGTGGTCAGCTAGTAGTGAAATACCAGCATTTAGTTCAAAATTTTCAATTCCCGCAATTAATACTACTCCATGATGTCAGCTATCTTTAAACGTCAGTCCACGATCCGGAAGTGAATCTGGAAGATAGTATAATTTCGTTTTCATCATACAATTGCCCAGAAGCCAATAGATTAAGCAGTGAATACTTCATATACAATGACTTTATATATACTTAGTTCCCACCTCAAGATTAGTGGTTCTTAGTCGTTCGAGTGGATAAGCGAGCCCGCTAGCTTTCATGATGATTTTTAACCACTCGATTTCTACTCACATACGCGTATTAAAGCTCGTTTAGATCATTTTTCCTTTGTTTTTTTATTATTAATAGTTATTATAATAATAGTTTTTTTAAAATAAAAATCATAACAATTTCCTTTTTTTTAAAGAAAAAATAATGAAATTATTTTATAAAAATTAAATCAATAGAAAATTTAGATTTTAATTATTTTTTAAGATCTTTTATTTAAGAAAATAATGATTGGTTATTAAAATATTAATATTTTAAGAAGCTTGATTCAAATAATTTTTGATATGATTTATTTACTGATATAAATTATTTATTAATAAAACACGTTATAGAATTGATAATTTACTTAATCAATAATTTAATCTAAGTTTTATAAATCTACTTTGTAAAATGTAGTCTGTAAGATGTAGAGTAATGATATATTAATGAACGCTGATTAAAATTATATTATAGATTTAATAAGGTTCTTATACAAATTTTCAGATTTTTTTAGATTTATATTTTGTAGTCTTTTGTAGTGAGAGATAATCTTCAGTTAAATTTTTTTTTTCAAATCTTAATAAATATTATTAATAGTGAAATATAAATTAACTTTATTGATTTGATTGTATTAATAGTCGAGAAATACTCATTAAGATCTATATTGACTACATTTATTATTAATATTTTCTCAAAAAAAATCGATTCGAACAAATCCTAGAGGAGCAAGCTTGTCACAGGGTGACACTAGCCCTTCCCGTCCTGTCCTGTTCTGCTATATATGTGAGAGTAAGATAGAACTTTCAGTTCTTTCTCCTAGTCTTTTGGGCTTTTAGCTCAGCGGTAAAGCTTCTGAATACTCCCAGAAGTGATCCCGTGACAAAGCTAGTGAATAGATATAATATTGAATATATAGATTAATTATACTATTGGCTTGAGAAGGATACGGAAAACGTAGCACCCACGAACTGATAGGTCCTAGATGTCTATATTATATTCTGTCTAAAGATTTCCTATATAGAAAGTAGTAGGCTTTATATAGGCACTATTGAAAGAGCTAGTCTCTGTCGCATTCGCTTAAAGCTTGATATAGTAGTCATTGGATTGAAGTCATTCACCTACGTTCATACATTTATTATATATTAAACTTAGTATAGACTTTTATATGAATATTCACAATAGCTTATAGTCTAATTCTCTAAAGAGATAAGAAAACCTCAGAATATAAAAAGACTATAAAACTAGGAATAAATATAACCCCCCTTTCTTCTGATTAATAATGCTAGCCAGTGTATTTGTAGGACGGTGAATCCTTTCACTCAGAAATAATATGTTTAAGAATTCAGTGATTCTGAGCCGGAGATTGTCTTCCAAACAAAAGATATAAACATCTTATACTTAGCGCTAGAGATAACTCAGACAAGACAATGAGGAGATTTACAAGTATTAGTATTATATCATAGGGGAATCTGGATAATTATGATTCAATTTAAAAAGTGAGGTCACGACTGGTATATACAATAGTAAAATATAGTAAAACTATGCTGTAATCTTACATTGATTTATTGATACGATAGTTGATATGTTTGAAAGTAGTGATAAATTATTCTCGTAGTTAATTATTCTTATATATGAATGTTACTAATAATATTGAATATTTAAATAATATTGTATACTTTTAGTAGTATATCTTTTAATATCACACATGATAATATTTGAGAAAAATTCAATAATTATTATTCTATCGATTTATGTATTGATTACGGGAAATACTAATGACTATACTGGGCACGACTATAGTAAAGCTGAGCTGCAATACCGTTTGTTATTACTTCTGGTTGCATGTAAGAGGAACATGAAAGAAGATGCTGCTAGACGACGGTTTCACTTGACAAGTGGTTCTATAACCCCAAAGTGCTGAGTTCGAATGTTTCAGATATTTTTGAAAATATAGATCTTCACATAACACTAACATACCTCCCACTCATCAAACTGAGGTCACCCATCCCATCAAATCCCAAACTCTCCATCTCAACCAATAAATCATGCAGTGTCACAATATCAAAACCTCATGCTCATGATCCTACATACTAGATTCGATTCTCGCGTTATTGAATCCCAAGGCCGATCATTAACGAATTATAGTAGAACACAGTCCGAACACCCTTAGCCACCTCTTCCCATTACCGGCATTTGCCTTCAGTGGATCTCCTTCCTTGACTTTGATACCATATTCTTTTACATAACACTGAAAAGGCTTGTTCCTGGGCTTGATTTCTTCCGGTGTTTCCACCTTTTTGGCGTTCTTTTTAAATTCGATATCGGCATCTGTCTCCTCCAGTACTGCAGGTCTCTGGGATCCTTTGGTTTGCTTTTGTCGTGTCAAATCACCGGCTTCGTCCTCTGAGTCCACTGGAAGACTATGGTTAGTTGTTCTAAGATCATTTCCTTCGTCTTCAGATTCTGAATCTGTAGCCCTGGAGGCTTCGGGGGCCACATTTGCTGTCTCTGATTTCTCGCGGGCTTTCTGTAAAAGCAGAGCGGATTTTTGCTCCTCTAAATCTCCCCAGAGCTTGAAGAGTGTTTCTTTGACATCTCTAAGCATTCCTGGATTTGTTCGTAGGCTTCAACGTTATATTAGCTTTACTTATTTTACATAGACAAACAAGCAATAAAGATGAACGTACTTGCAAGCATCGCCCTGAATATTGAGTAACATCTGTGCATCATAATTCTCTACCCTAAGAATAACTCTCTCTTTAGAAGCATCTGGATTTGCATCTTCGACTACCAACGAGAAGAACCATTCCCATCTCCTTTCTACGTAACCCTTACCTTCGCGGAAACTTTCCATATCTTCCTTTGGATCATCATCTTCATCACCACTATAATCAGATAACACGTCGAATTCGCTGATTTTACGACCAACCGCGAAGTCAGCAATGTTGTGAGGTAAGTAATCTACAACCCGAAGATTTGCTTTGTAAGTGTTATTCTCAAAGGGTGCGTTGATCCCGGCAAATTTGGGATCTGAAGAGATGGGCGACGTGCGTTGCAGAATACTTGATAATGGCATTATGTCCCTCGCAATCTGAGAAGAATGTAATATCACTATCTGATTGTTAGACATTAGATAGACTATTCTAGCATGAAAACTTACCATTTTCGTTTAAATCAAGATCCTTAGCAGCTTTTATCTTGTTGGAAGCACTTTTAGCCACTGTCTTGGCTCGCGATTCTTTTCTTCGCGCTTTAGAATTTTTCCCGCTTGGTTGTCCCTCCGCTTTACGCTTGGTTCCTGCCCCTGAAATCTCTTCTTGAAGTCTTTTTCTTTCCTTTTCGTGTTTTTGGGTCCAATCACGCTTTCGTCGAAGACAGTCTTTCCATCTGGGATCATTGTTCTGAGGGTCTTCTGAAGTTTTCATGATCTCGACTTGGACTTTACCATCAGATGCCCCTCGATCGCCACGAAGCTTACCCTCCATGAGACCTGCATTGCCCGATTTAAATTGGACATTAGTCAAGCGGAGCCACTGGCCTTCCTTGATGTTTTCCTCTCGAATGAACATGGCGTGGGCGTCGAAGAGTGTGAGCTGAATAGTCATTTTTCCGAACGGACCTTTCCATTCTTTTGCTTCGTCCTTGGGCTTCGCTTTAATGTAACCATATTCATCACCATCGCGACCTTCCGTCATGACACTTGATAGTCCCGGCAGTGCATAGTTGTAAAAGTTAGTGTGAGCTGTATAGTCGGTAAAGTAAACGGTGACCATATCGTTATTAGCTCCATAGATCTTTCTCACTTCACCTATGATATCGTGAAACGACCCGTCTTTGACATCTTCAAGTAGACTAAACTTATCTCTAACTTGCAAAGCTTTTTTTGCCTTTTCCTGAAATTCTTGAGTACCAGGAAACTCAACTTCATCAAGATGCTGATTTGACCATACTACATACTTAGTCTCGATTGCTTCTGGACGTCGGCATCTTGCTGGGGGTGTTGAAATCCACGAAGCTTTTATGACGGGGAAAATAGCTTTAGGGATGTGCTCAGCACAGAGTATGTGGTATTCGGTACTAAAGTGAGATAGTAACTGTATCTCCCCGTTACGCAATTGAACCTTAATTCGTCAATTGGAAGCCAGACGGTGTACGAAAGAAAAGAGAAATACCTTTGCACTACGGATAAGTACGGCATCTTTTGGCTTCCGGATTCGTGGCATCTTGTCTTCTGTTGAAAAAACACTCATCCTCAAGCCGAAGCGCTCAAATCGCGAGGAATAATCTTTGATTTGAAAACTGCATTTGAAGTCTGTATAATTGTGTCAATATTGGCTGACTTCCACAGCAGGAGTGGATTCAATCATTATCCAATGATTACCTACCTGTTCCCTTGGTTTGGATAGGAGGTTGATGATCCATCACAAATCCTATTACATTGACAAATTGTGGTTTTATAACTCCGCCTGGTAGAATTTCAAAACTCTTAATCTGCTCAATAGTATGAAAGCCCTTAGGAGTGACCACCTTAGGCTTAGCAATCTCCTCCATTTCGTCGACGTTTTGCATGATGTCCATTCTTGAATACTTCAAAAGAGCCTTGGCGAAACTTCGCAATAACACTTCACAGATTATGTTCCTAGCAGTAATGCCTCCTCGCCCTGAAGAAGACAACAGCAAAGTTTAATTGGTCATGGATCTGGGAACATAAGCTTTCGGTGTATGTAGCAATTGAATACCAAATAATCCTTCTTGTCTAAGGTATATTTTCATAATTTACTTGCTCCGCCCTCTTCTTGGTGAATAGATACACTGAATTGACCAACTTTGAAGTAATTTCTGCTTGAGAAATGAACATAAGCGAACACTGCTATTGTTCGAAGGCTCTAGTGCACAGGAAATGTACCGGAAGTGTATTGATGAATGCTCATTCGGACGGATGTAGAGTCTGCTTCCTGCCGTACTTGCTCTTGCCCTACACTCTGTGTCGCATTCGAGATATAGTGAAATTATTGTTCTTTTCTTTGGTGTTTCTATCCGGTCTGGTGAATATTTTCTTGCTTGTCCATGTCTGTATAGACGCGTTAATTGAATTTCTGTATGTACTAGGTAGGTAGACGCGACCAAAAGCTTATTAAGAAAGTTTGTCACATGTCGTGACATGACATGTCAGAAACAGTCTAACCAATCAACGTGAGCCAATAAGAAGAAAGAAAGAATCGTAATAAGCAAGCTTCGAGTGTTAGTTACCACGGATGTTTCGCTAAGATCACGTTTCAAACTAATCTTTACCGCTTTCAGCTTGGAGGCGGATTGTTCCTCTTCTATTCTTTTGGGGCCTTCTTCTCAAACCATTTAGAACCCAAAGAATCTTCTATAATTTTTCCCCATCTCTCTTCATTCACCACAACAAATAAAATCAAACTCCAAATAAGATTTTATCCTACGGCCTAACTGTAAAGGTCGTTTCGTATTTAAGCCTCTTACTTTCTTTTACAACACAGCAAAGCATATCCCTCGCAGTCATTTCGCAAGCATGGCTGAACGTTATATCCCAGAGCATCGTCGAACTCAGTTCAAGGCAAAGAACACCTTCAAGCCTGAAGAATTAAGACGTCGCCGCGAAGAACAACAAGTTGAGATTAGAAAAGTCAAGCGTGATGAGAATCTTGCAAAGAGAAGAGGTATTACAGCAGGAGATGGATCTTCACGACCTGGTGCCTCTTTGGGTGCTGAGCCTGATAGTGATGATGATCAACCTCCCACAGAAAGTCAAGTAAGTTAAGATCGCACAATCTTCTCCGTTTAACTAGCACACTATTCGCACATTACTCGACCTTTGACGATGTTTAAGATTGTGCCAATACTTCTTCCAGTATACCCCACCACTGGGAATTTCCTACATAGCTTTCAACTATTTACTTTCCTTGGTGGGGTAGTAGCTGTGTCCTAGTGATAATGTTTTTCGCTTCTGCGATTGACCCTCTATCACAGCTTTATCGCGAGTCTCATTGCTGGGTTTTGGTTTCACAACTTGAACATATATTTGTTCCTTATCAAATACCCTGTCTCCATCATGGCTAATCAAAAATTCTTTCAATAGTTGAACGATGACCTCCCTTTAATGGTACAAGGCGTATTCTCAGAACAAATCGATGCACAAATTCAAGCCACAACCAAATTCAGAAAGTTACTCTCAAAGGAAAGAAACCCTCCTATTGAAGAAGTTATTAAGACCGGTGTCGTTTCACGTTTCGTCGAATTCCTTCGTTCTCCTCATACACTTGTACAATTCGAGGCAGCATGGGCTCTCACAAATATTGCATCTGGTTCTGCTCAACAAACTCAAGTTGTCATTGAAGCTGGTGCCGTTCCAATTTTCGTCGAATTACTTGCAAGTCACGAACCAGATGTCAGAGAACAAGCTGTTTGGGCTTTGGGAAATATTGCTGGTGATAGCCCATCATGCAGAGATTATGTTTTGGGTTGCGGTGCTCTTAAACCCCTCCTCGCCCTTTTGGGTGACAGCAGAAAATTGAGCATGCTCCGTAATGCTACCTGGACTCTTAGTAACTTCTGCCGTGGAAAGACACCACAACCTGACTGGACCACCGTAAGGACTCCTACTCTTCACCCTTTATTATGCTAAGACTTACATTTACAGCAGATCTTACCCGCTCTGCCAGTTTTGGCCAAACTTGTTTATTCTTTGGATGACGAGGTTTTAATTGATGCTTGTTGGGCAATTTCATACCTTTCCGATGGAGCCAATGATAAGATCCAAGCTGTCATCGAAGCCGGTATCCCTCGTCGTCTCGTGGAATTGTTGATGCACGCCTCTACCTCGGTTCAAACTCCTGCCCTTCGTTCTGTTGGAAACATCGTCACTGGTGATGATGTTCAAACCCAAGTTATTATCAACTGCGGTGCTCTCCCAGCCTTGTTGTCTCTCTTGAGCTCAGGAAAGGACGGTATCAGAAAGGAAGCCTGCTGGACCATCTCCAATGTCACTGCCGGTAACTCCACCCAGATTCAAGCAGTTATCGATGCCAACATTATCCCACCTCTCATTCACCTCTTGTCCAACGGCGACCTCAAGACCCGCAAGGAAGCTTGTTGGGCAATCTCCAATGCTACCTCCGGTGGTCTTCAAAAGCCAGAGCAAATCCGTTATTTGGTTAATCAAGGTTGTATCAAACCACTTTGCGATCTTTTGGCCTGCCCGGATAATAAGATTATTCAAGTCGCTCTTGATGGTCTTGAGAATATCTTGAAGGTCGGTGAGATGGATAAGGATGCTGCCGGAGAAGGGACTGAAAGCATTAACCGATACGCTTTGTTCATCGAGGAATGCCACGGTATGGAGAAGATCCACGACTGCCAAACCAACGCAAACGAAGAGATCTACATGAAGGCATACAACATGATTGAGAAGTACTTCTCTGATGAGGAAGAGGGCGCTGATGATGGTCAACCACAAATTGCCGGTAACACCTTCGGTTTCGGTACCAATGGAGAACAATCTGGTAACTTCAACTTCGCCAATGGTGGGGATTCGATGGATATGTAAACTCTTCAAAGAGTCAGCAAATCCTCTAGCTTTTAGCTATTCTTTCTATCCAGAAACATCCTCTAATACGACTTCTAATAACAAATTGACAATGTTGTCATGAACAACAGATCGGACCTTAAAGTTCTGGCACCGATACTCCTTTTCAATCTGCGACTGCGAATCAAAAACACGTCAAATTTTTATCCACCCTGAAGCACATTTTCCCCCACGATGTGACCAACGATCAGCGAAAGATTCACCATCATGTATTTCCCCTTTCTTACCGTTTTTAAACAACCCCGGCACATCAAAGGCGTTTTTGCTTACTCTTTCTATGAGGGGTTTTCAACTCGTCTGCTTTTTCTCTTCCCCAAATTCAAAGTTTTTGCGACATTGAGACATGGTAGCTTGAAAGCGACATGATTCTCTCCCGGAGTTAAGATGAATGATTTTTTATGCAAGTGACACGTTAGTATGATACGATGTGCGATGAGAATGGTAGCTTGAAAGCTCCTACTCTGAATGAGATGATGTGATGAGGTTTGAGATGATTGATGGATCATCTGAGTGGATAGGCATATTGTGATGCCATTCATGTAAGGGGTAAATAGAGTCCGTGTCTGAGAGGGAACGACGAGAGAATGGAGGTAGTGGGGGTGGATAACATAACATCACAAACAAGATATCATATGAATAAATGGTTAATTGACTATACTTGATTGATTCTTTTGTTTTGTCTCCTGTATGTGATTTTGATTGTGTAATCGTACTTGTGATGTTGAATGGTATGGTACCTAGGTAGTATATCATAGTGACTAGGTATATCACTCTTATCGAGCCTTGCAACTAGCATTTTGCACGGCTACAAATGTATAGTGGCTCAGTGGGTGGATCATCATCATGATATCATCATAAGATTTCATTGTCTTCGTTCTCTATACCTAATTCTGGACCCGAACCCGAACCTGAACCTGAACCTATCCCTACGCCTATGTAATATATGTATGCTCAAACATACATTTCACACGTCCGCCCGCCGCCTGCCCCGCTAGCTCTGTAGAGATTCTTGAGAAGGAAAAATGGAAAAATGGAAAGAGAAAAAAAGGGAATTTGAGAAGTATAGAAAAAAATTGTTCTTCGTCATTTCTATTTGTCTCTGTCTCTGTCTTTGTTTTTGTCTGTAGGTAGTATTCTGTCTCTCTCTCTGCGTTCTTGTCTGTCTGTCTGCCTGTGTGTCTTTTTGCATTCAAGCGTATCTATATTGTCTGTCTGGCCACGCACTCACTCGACGTCGTAATGTGATTTTGTTCAAAGATCATGCTCGTGCCGCTGTGGAGATGCAGAGGAAGGAAAATGGAGAAGACGCGGAAACGGACAAAAAAGGCAAGAAATTGAAAGGAAAAAAAGGAAACCCGGATATCCATCTTCGTCCTGGATGTCGCCCCAAATACCTAAACAGGTTGGACCTAGCCAAAGCAAGTAAGTCAAAGCACCTCTCTAAACCACAGCTTCCTCATCAATTCCCCCATTCTTCTTAATAACCTTATCCGCCTCCTTCTCAAAATCCTTCAACACTTTCGCTTCCGAGCTCATACTTCTACTCCCATCCCCCTCGACACCCCTATGATTATCCGCCATGCCGCTATCTCTTCTTCCTTCCGCTAAACTCGTGTTATCAATCAGATCCCGCGCTCGATCAGAGAGTCCAACAATTTTATCCTGTTCCTCGAATCGATCGACGACCTTACTCTTGCCCAGCTGTCTCCGTTCTTCCTCGCTTGTTTTTCCGCTACCAAAGACACGGGCCAGCTCCGCGCATGCTTCTTCGTAGCAGCGGTCTGCGGCTTCAGGGAATTTGAGGGGATTGGGTTTCTTATCGAAAGCGTGGGGAACGCAATTTATCAGGCCGCCTTTAACGGATTTGCCGATTGCGGAGGAGGAGAGACGTTCGCCAAAGGCGACACCTTCTGCGTTTAGCATGTCGTATTCGCAGGTGTAGAGGACGATATCTTGAGGATAGGCATCACGGAGAAAGCCATCCGTAGCTGCTGCAGGGGAGAGATAGGGGTCGCGGAGATCGATGGAGTCGATGGGGTTCATATAGGATTGGTCGAAGAGACGAGTGAGCATTGGAGGGAGGTTCTTTTCTGGGGCGGGATTTGTAGCACGTTTCTCATCGCGGGTTTGACGGAAATCGGTTGGGGGGTAGAAGGAGACTATGGCGCGAAGAGTGAGGTCGGGGAGTTCTTGGGCGATTTCTAGAGCGGTGGGCTCCAGTGAGGGGATTTTGGCAATTGATATTGTGGATTGGTTTCGGCTTTGAGATTCGCCTTGATATGGATTGGGGCGGAGATGTGAAGTGAGTGAACTTGACGATGCGGCCGCTGAAGAATCGTATTTTCCTTTATCAAGATCTTGTCGACTTGCATTTGTAGAGGGCGTTCCATCTGCATGTGTAGTTGCACTTGTCAAATCTGCGAGTGTACGTTTTCCTGCATCTTGTCTTAAATCGTGCAGCATTAGTGGAACTGTGAATGCAAAGTTTCCACCGGCGCTGAACCCAGATAGTGCCATTCGATGAGGATCTAATCGTAATTCCTCTGCGTGTGCGGCTAGATATATAACGGCATCGGTACCATCTTCGACTCCTACACTGAATGGATACTCGGGTGCAAGACGATACTCCACACTGACGAATACCGCATCGACCGTGTGAATAACCGCAGAAGCCCATCTCGCATCATCGGTTCCTGTTCCCAAAGTAAACCCTCCTCCGTGATAATTTACTACGACGGGGAATCGACGTTGATCTTGATCTGATCCTTCGATATATGATTGTGGAACATAGAAAATGAGGTTGAAATAACCCCCGCGGGGACATAATCTTGAGGGGATTCGGATTTTGAAATTAGGAGCTGGAGGTTTTGGATCTGCGAAATGATGAAATTTCATTCCAATGGCCATGAGGCCTCGCCATATTGTGGCTTTCATATTTAAAAGCCAATTGGAATCTGAGTCTGCGTCGTAATATTCGTTTGGCATCAAAGAGTCCTTTTTCCAAGGACTAAGGGGAAAGAATTGAGGTAAAGATTGAAGAGAGATAAGATACGGAAATGGAAGTCTTGGATGTTGTGAAATGGAAAGAGGTATTGATGTAAATAGTCTCTGTGAGAGAGACCCAGGTAGATCTCGAAAAACTAGACGTCGGTGGAGTTCAAGACAAGAATCGATAAGAAGTTAAAATGGCTTGGATGATGATATTTGTGGATAAAAACCAAGGGTTCAAGGATTTATGATGTTGATATACGAGTAGATGGTGAGCACTGGGCACTGATGAGGAGAGGGATGAGGAGTGAGGAGTGGAGAGTGGAGAGTGAAGAGTGAAGAGTGAAGAGTGATGAATGAGGAGAAAAAGAATAGTAATATATTGAAATGTTGCCGGCTTTATTATTCTTATTATTCTATTACTGCGCCGACTCTTCTATTTTGGTAGAAGGCGGAAAGGTGTGAGGTGTGAAGTGTGAGGTGATATTTGTAACAAGTTGGGCATGTCACTGGGGTATGTCACTTGGATACCTGTACCTGTACTCATACATACATTCATACATACATACACGTATAGAAGAAAATGATTTGAGTTGATTTAAATTGATTCTTTACTCTTCTCTTCTATTTCAGTATTGACCTTGCTTATGTTTCTACCCTTTGGCCGTCAACGCATACCTGCATACATACATACCAGGGATCCAATTCGTGGGAAATCCAGAGAGAGGTAAGAAATCAAATCTTGGAGGGGAAAAGAGTGAGCCGTGAGTTCTGGAATGGGAGTGAAAGGCGTCATTGTTGTCAAATGGTCTGGGTTCCTGGGTTCTAGGTCGGGGCTGTGCCAGGTGAGAGGTTGTAGTCATCAATGCAAAGATGTCTGAGAATTGTGGTGTGATAAATTTGAGTGTTTGTTTTCAATCCTTTCACGTGTTTCCCGATTAGACGCGTGGCCAGAGGGAATGCAATAAAGACGATAAAGATAAAAGACACGTGATTCATCGACACATGACAAAGGAAAATGTCATCGATGTCGCTCCGCTGGTCCTCCGGGAGCCACTGCCGTAGAGGCTTTCTCGCTTTGCTCGGAAACTGGATCTGAGAGACTCGATATATATATATATATATATATATTCATCTATTCATGTTACTAGAGCACGTGAATAATGAAAACATCTTGGGTTGACAGAGCAAGCAGGTGAAACTTGCAAATACCCAGTTTGATAAAGCCACAATCTTGGCAGGTACGGATCTCCATAGTGATGAGTATGTCATGTCATGTAATGCTTGGAATTAATATTCAGTCTCCGTTGCAATGATTCACCAAGGTTATCGACTGTACCGGTATTTCACTCTGTGAGGTGTATTGTTCAATACCTACCTAGTACCGGTATACACCGTGGAGGCGAGAAAAGAAGTCCGGAGATAATTGTCCGCATTATTTGTACTGGGGTTGTGGCTTGTGGCTGATCTATCTGTGGCAGTGATGCAAAGGTACATGAATCATCTGGGCAAGGATTAGCTGAAAATTGGAAAATATATGAAAAATACCATGTCGAGCATGTGTTTCCCTTGTATCATGTTCCCACTCTCGAGCCACTCTCCGACTGACCTGACAGAGCAAAGTCCGATAGGTAAGGTAAGATCAGCCACTCCATTCTCTTTATATAACTTCCATTCTTACCCTACCTACCTACCTACGAGAGATCTTCGTTCCAAAATCGATAGATAATTGTGCAGTAAGACATGCATCTTTTACTTGAATCCCATGACAGTGACTATTCGACCCCGAGATCCAGTTATTCTAATGTCTCTTTTTGACCATGTAACCGATGTAACGGCCACCTCCCGATGTTGATCCGAGTAAACAAGGATAATTCCAAGTAGTTTTTGGGTAGGGTAAACATTGGTGAATCCACACCTCTCTCTCTCTCCCGCGGCTACATTAATGAAGCAGGATGAAAAGAGATGCCATTAGATGATGTCCTTTGCGTTGTTTTGTCTCAGTTTATCATCTTGTCTTTGGTCTTTTTGACTGTGAGTGCTGTGTGAATCTCTTTTCGTATCATTGCACCAATCTATCTTTTGAGCTGTGACACTTCTCTTCATTACGAGTATACAGTGACGAACTCTGACATCATCGTAATTTTCGATCGGCCCTCCCAACCCAAACTTCACTCAGAACAGCCAACTAATTGATCAATGCATACCCAGTAGAAGGAGAAAGGTATGAACTCAAAAATGAATTCATCGAATTTTTTCCATTCATTTACTTCCCAAATCATTGAATTGCATATGGACGAATACCAAGAAGGGCTTGAATTGAGGAATTCTTCGGCAGCTAGATTGCATTGGGCATTGGATAGAGTTTCCCATAGTAAATGTTCATCATAAGCTTTGAAGCCTTGCATGTGGATATGCTTGGGTTGGGAACGCCCCGGTCCCCTCCAAGTTTTTGGGCTTTTCCCTATGGATGAATTGATCTCACCAAGACAATAGAGATAGAGATAGAGATAGAAATAGAAATAAAAATAAAAATAAAAACTAGATTTCTTCTATTCTCTTCTTCTTCCTCTTCTGCTTCCTCTTTCTCTTCCTCGTCAACAAGGAATATCAAATACAAGTTGGAGATTGACAATAAGAGGATCTTATCTATCTTGCAATCCTCTTCTCTTCTCTTCTCTTTCTCTTTCTCTTCCTCTCCCACTATCTACCAAAACAAACATAATCCTCCCATATTCCCTATCACCCCGCATACCAACCTCTTTACTTTTCTTTCATCAGTCACCAATCAAAGTGCAACGAGATCCAACTTCAAGGTTGACTCAACAATCACCATCACCGAAAGAGAGACACAGAGAGCTTATTCTCTAATCTCACTCCGTAATTCCGGCTCTTCCGTCAGCAGCTAGCTTTGACACAATACCCATCTAATAAGTGCCGACGGTGTATGGTTAAATACTTCCAGACACATCTCTCGGTATTAATCATCGTCTGGCAGTTGGACCTGCAACTTACTCGCGTATAGACTTTCATATTCACCTAATTAGTTTCCATTCAAATTTCTACAAATTTCTACAGAAGAAAGAAGACACACAAACACACATTCTCATCATGTCGGCCCTCAAGAAGCGCCTCAGTAAATTGATACCAGATCGCATCGGCAAGAGTAATAACAATAGCAACAATTCGAGCAACGAAAATGTTCCACAGCTTGCAGATGGGATTGAAGGTTCCTCTGGATCCAATGGACCATTAGCAAGCACCTCTCAAAACAATGGTGCTCAAACGCCAGAACGATCTAACTCCCGACGAGTGAGTCGCGAGATTCTTGAGCAAAATAAGGCGAGAAGAAGCATGGATAAGGAACGTGTAAAGGCTGAGAACAAGAAGAAGCAATCTTTGGCAAGAATAGAAGATGAGAAGTTCTTAAAAGAAGGACCGGCAGCCCTTACGCAACTCTATCGACCATACAGTATGATTCAAAGTAAACATTGGAGACATGAGGAGAGAGCTTTATTCAAGAACATCAATTGGGCTGGTAAGTTGGCATTGTCTTACTACATACTTTCCTCTGCTGATACTTGAATAGAAATGGATGGACAAATCATTAGTTTCAGAGCTCGAATGCATACTTTGCGGAGAATGTCTGCCAAACTGGTATTTATCGTTTTCCGTCAACAGACTATGACAATTCAGGGAGTTTTGCAAAGCTTCAAACCTGAAGAAGAACAAAATGGTAAGTTTTATCATGAAAATTACTATGAGAAATACATCTGATCCGATTTATTTCACAGAACATGGTACAATTTCCGAACAGATGGTTAGAACTGTCGAACATTACCCCGCCGAAACGATCGTCGTTGTTCATGCCAAAATCCGAAAATCCCTCCAAACTGTTAAGAATGCCACAGTTCATGATTACGAATTGCAAGTTTACGAAATCCACAGAGTGGTTCCATTGACCGAAAATGTACCATTCACAGTCTACGATGCAGAGAATATCAACAGAGAAAAGGAAGTTGACATGGATGATGATTCCGGTGATGATTCGGTTGCAGCTAGTCAGCCAATGTCACCAATTTCAACAGATACACCAAGAGGTCCTCCTTCTCGTGCTTCTACCGATCTTGCACGCAATGCTTTTGCAAAATTGGATGATAAGAATTTGGAGAGTAGAAGTAAGCTTCCATCTTTGGAACTGGAAGATTTATAACTGACATTCAAAAAGCTTCCATGGATACAGGTCATCACCAAAAACGATCCCTCCCACAAAGAGTGAGATTGAACAACAGAATTATCGATTTACGAACAACTCCAGCTCAGGCAATCTTCCGTATCCAATCGGGTATTTGCAACCTTTTCCGATCATATCTCGACACCCAAGGCTTCATTGAAATCCATACACCAAAATTACAAGGAGGTGCTACTGAATCTGGTGCAACCGTTTTCGAACTCAACTACTTTGGAAGACCTGCTTTCTTGGCCCAATCCCCACAATTGGCCAAGCAAATGTGTATCGCAGCTGATTTCGAGAGAGTTTATGAAATTGGTGCAGTTTTCCGTGCAGAAGACAGTAATACACCACGTCATTTGACCGAGTATACTGGATTGGATCTCGAGATGGCTTTAGAAGAGCATTATCATGAGGCTTTGACTCTTATTGATGGTATGTTCAAGAACCTCTGGAAAGGAATTTACGACCGATATCAAAAAGAGATTGATCTCATTGACCAATTTTATCCACATACCAAGGTCGAATGGCTGGATGAGACTCCCAGAATCCCATTTTCTGTCGGTGTCAAGATGTTGGTAGATTCGGGTTGGGTTGAAGAAGATGGAAGTATACCATCCGAAACCGAGGATCTCTCTACTCGAGCCGAAATTCGTTTGGGTGCGTTGGTCAAGGAAAAGTATCATACTGATTACTATATCCTCGATAAATTCCCTGCTTCTGTTCGACCATTTTACACCATGCCTGATCCAGAAGATGATCGATTTACTAACTCATTCGATATTTTCATGCGTGGTCAAGAAATCTTGACTGGTGGTCAACGTATTCATGATGCTGAATTTTTGGAAAAACGTATGAAGCAAAAGGGTGTCAAGCCAGAAAGCATGTCTGAATATCTTGAAGGTTTCAGATGGGGAGCACCACCTCACGCAGGTTGTGGTATTGGTCTTGAGCGTCTTACGTACCTTTTCCTTAGTCTTGGCAATATTCGACTTGCATCTCTATTTCCAAGAGATCCCAAATCACTTCCAGCTGTACCTCCTACTCTGGTCCTTCGTCACGAGGATGCATCAACACTCCATCCAATATGGGAGCAAGAAGGAAAGGAATTTACACCCGAATTACTCCCATCTTTGGAGAAGTTAATCGCCAATTATGGTGATGCAGCCAACACCTCTTGGTTGGACAAGCGCTATCACGTATGGAGACATTCGACCACTGGTGCTGCACAAGGTTATGTCATCCATAACTCGTATGCCATTATTGTTGGAGAGCCTCTTTGCGATAAATCTCAAACACCAGCCATCGTTTCTGCCTTCCTCAATTACTTGAATACCGAACATAAGAATCTGAAGCCAATTTGGATGATTATCGGTTCTCGTACCGAAGAATATCTTGGTGAAAAGTTCGGTTGGCGTACTTTGTCTCCAGCAGCCGAAGAACGCGCCGATCCTCGAAATAACCCCGCAGCTAAGGATAATGACTTGGCACGCAAAGTTCGACATGCTGAAAAGGAGGGTATCAAACTTCAAACTCTTCCATTCAATGAACCCGTTCCAGAGGACTTCAAAGAGAAGGTTAATGCACGAGTCCAAGACTGGCACAAGAACAGAAAGGGTACCCAAGTTCATCTCACAGAAATTAGGCCTTGGCTTGACGAGGCTCATCGTAAATACTTTTACGCTCAAGGTCCAGATGGAACCATTCACGCCATTAACATTCTTCATCAACTCAGTCCTGAAAATGGATACCAAGTTAAATTCTCCCTGGAATTCCCAGGTGCCCCATCTGGTACTGTTGAATCTCTTCTACTTTACTCGATGAAACAATTGAGTGCAGCGGAGCCAGATGTCAAACGTATCACTTTTGGTACTGGTGCTCAACCACATATTGAAGGTGGAAGAAACTTGGGCAAACATAGAATTAAGGCGTTGAAGAAGGCTTATGAGACAATCGTCAAGCAAGCAAGATTATTGGGCAAGAGTGAGTTCAGAGAGAAGATGGGTACATGGAATGACGGAATCTATGTTGCATATCCTAAGGGTGGTTTGGGTGCTGGTGGTATTAGAGCTTTGATGGGTTTCCTAGAGGAAGATGGTTAGATTTCTCACCATGGGAATTCTATTTGTGGATGCGAAGGTGTGAGGTGGGGCAGATTGTGTCCCTGGGGTGAATTTGTAACTCTTAAGCAGAAGAAAGTAATTTCGTGAAGTGCGTTGGATGACTGGGTTAGGAGATGGATGGACGGCATGGATGGATGGGAAAGATACCTACATTGCTTGATTTGTTACTCAATAGTGTTATTTTCTTTGCTACCTTTCATTAATTGTTTGCCATCGATTGAGTCGATCGTAACTAGTCGAAGGAAATTGCAAATAGAATATAACAGATACACTAATAGATAAACCAAGGTGTATTTCAAAGTCAATAACATTAGCTAATCATTTACTCCATTATCTGAGTCTCAATCCCAATACTAATAATACCTACCTACTCCTCTCCCTGTGACCCAACCTCCCACAAACGAACAAAGAACTTCAACACGTCGGGCATCTGAAGAATGAAATCTCATAGCCTATTATGCCTACTAAGTATCAAACCCAAGAAATATATACATAGAGAAAGAAGAACCCGCATCGCCTTCTCGGTAATCGGATTTCGATATTGGTCGGTAGGTATTGATATGGATATGGATATTGATGTTGACGTTGAGGAATTGAACTGGGGGAAGGGGGCTCGGGGTTGAGAGGGGGTATTTGTGAGTTGTGAGTTGGGGTCGCCTATTAAATTGGCGTATCAAGTTGGCTGATTGGGTTAGGATACCCGTGCCGAGAATTGTGAATTGTAGGCTGGGTATAGGGGGGAGGGGGGGAGGGGGAGGAGGGTGGGGTGTGATATGATGTGTAAGCTTGATGCAGGTTTGTGTTTCGACGGTGGTGGATTTGACTGGGTATGGGATGGATTTTTTAGATTTTGGAATCGATTTTGGGATTTGAATCGGGTTTGATTGATTGATTGATTTATTGGGGGAATTGGGATGGAGGTGTGGTTTGCCGGGGTGGTTTGAGGGGGAGGGGGCGCGGGGTGTTTGAGCGTTTGGTTATTCGATATATTAATTACAGTTTTCTTTACATATATATATATATATATATATTTTTTTTTCTCTTTTTTTCTATGGGTAGGTAGGTTGGTGATGAGTAATGGATAACGAGTACATAGATGAATGAAATTGAGGTAGGTGGATATGTAGTGTTACGATAGATGTGATGGGTATTGAAGCCTGTCTGTATTATACTGACTACAGATGCTGACGCGAGATGGGTAATGGACGCTGGGTTTGTCAGATCAGATCAGATCAGATCGGATGAGAAGTTTTGATGCGGGGGAAGGAGATGCATTTGATGGGTAAAGGAAAGTCTGGAAGGTGTGTGGAAAATGTGGAAGGGAAAGTGTATAAAGAGGGGGAATGAGGAGATGAGATTTGCTTTCGGTGTCTGAGATTGTGTTTCTTTGTTGAGACTTGGTTGATAATATTTACGTAGATACTTAATATTTATTTGTGTGTGTGTGTGCATGTATACATATACACACTCGATCAAAGCGAAAACTAAATCTACAATTAATTGCTGATTGCTTCGAATCTCAGATGTCAAAAAAGCTCAATTCAACAATTGCATCATCATCCATCATGACATCCTCCTCACTCTCTCACCCTCTCCCCCCAACCATCAAAGCCCTCCTCCAACCCGACATCCACAGTCCCAAACTAATCCTCGCCACAATCCCCACTCCCGTCGCCACCCCCGGAACCACCGAACATCTCATCCACGTGCACTGCACCTCTCCCTGCGCAGGCGAACTCACCTGGGCCGCCAACTTCTCCGCCTACACATCTCTCCTCCCCAATCTCTCTCCCTCCTCCGTAACCACAAAGCTACAAATCCCGTGTTACGATCTCTCCGGAAGCGTTGTGACCGCGCCCCCAGACTCCCCTTTTCCCCCGGGCACAGAAGTGTACACGCGAACATCCTTTTCCCGACCCGGAAACGCACGCGCCTACACTATCGCGCTGACATCGGAGCTCGCGCGCAAACCGCACAATCTCTCCTGGGAAGAAGCAGCGAGTATACCACTTAGTGCGTTTACGGCATGGCAGGCACTCTATGTACATGGGGGCATGCGCTGCGTGTATGCGCTCGATGCGAAGATTGAGAATGAGGGGAAGACGGTGTTGATTAATGCTGCGGCGGGGGGGGTGGGCACGCTGCTGGTGCAGTTTGCGAAGGCGGGGGGCATAGCTGAGGTGATTGGGGTTTGTTCCGCGGGAAATGTGGAGATGGTGGGACGTCTGGGGGCGGATGTGGTGGTGGATTATCAGAGGGAGGGGGTGGGGGCGTGGGGGAAGAGAACGGGGAGGAAAGTGGATTTGGTGGTGGATTTGCTAGGGGGGGAGAATTTGGTGCAGGCGTGGAAGATGGTGAAGAGGGGGGGGAGGGTGGTGAGTATCAAGGAAGATCCGAATGCGGTGAAGCCGATGGAAGGGGTGGCGGAGGATGTGGAGGGGAAGTTTTTTGTGATGGAGCCGGAAGGGTGGCAGTTGGAGGAAACGGCTAAGTTGATTGAGAAGGGGCAGGTGAAAGCTACGATTGATAGTGTGTGGCCATTGCGAGATTTCGAGAAGGCATTTGCGGTTGTTGAGGGAGGTCATGCAAGAGGGAAAGTTATAATTAATATTAGCGAGTGAGAAAGGGGGGAAAGACTTATAGGAACTCTCTCGGCTCTGAAATTTGAAAAATGTTTTGATTTGTATAAATTTAGAATAATATAGGGAATTTACTTATTGTGGTCATGTGGTAATTTTGAAATCTTCCGAATTCGTAGATTTCAATTTCGTTTACCCCGATGGCTAGTACTAATAAATTCTAATTTTAATTCTAATTCTATGATATATATGAGGGCCAGCCCTCGAGCACCCATTCCTCGCTAAGCTCGTGTCCAAAGTTGAAAGTCGTTCCGTGGGTGCGCGGGTGGGGTCTTCCCCTAGCCACTGGCCCCGACCTAGGCTGATCGATCTGCCAGGCCAGATATGGAGATATAGCTACCCCCCCCGATTGGGCCATTTGCCGCGGGAATAATGTAGATTTATCATATGTGCAAGTGCCGCGTTTGTGTGCCAATAACTTCCTCTCGCAAACATTGTAGTATGGTACTGTTGCCTTCCTAATCGAGTTCGGTAGAAGAGTTCAAGTATCTAGAATCGATTCAATACTGTAAGGCTGAATATGAGTTTCCTTCACCGGCTTTGTCTAGCAGGCTCCAGAAAAGAGCTTTAGTCTTGACTACAATTATCATATAGAACACTGGATTGAATGATTGATACGAACACAGAACCATTTTTCAGCAAGTCATGGCAGAAGAAAAACATTTAACAACAACGATCGACGGCGCGGAATCTCCGCCTATGATCTTCTCGCTTGAAGAAGACAAGTCAGAAGCGAATGACAATATCGGTGACATTAACGTCATTGATTTTGAAATAGAGGATGACCCGCTCAATCCTATGAACTGGAAGTCATGGCTTCATTGGTCCCATGTAATGTTGATGTCGTTGATGGTTTTCGTTTTGTAAGGCAACCCAGAACGCGGAACAGATGTTCAGTGAGACCTGAGTGCTGACGGCTATAAACCTGGCTTCGCATTTTCCTTCATCAGTCATAGTAACTTCTACAGGCGAAGAGAGCCCTGCTCTAACGAGATTTCAACTTCTACCTTGATGACGTACATGAGAATAACGAACGGAGAGTCAAGAAATTTTTCTCATCTGTAGTCTACAAGGTCTGAGATTTCAAAAGTGACAAAACTTTTGACGAAAGTATGTGCTTAATACAAGAATCTAAACTCAGGGCATCAAAAAATCACGCAGGACGCTTAGCTAACCATGGTAGCTCTGTCTTTCCAGCTACATAAATACCATCACGAGGCTTCCACATCCACCAAATTAGCACCTGGCCAAAGTCGGATTCGAGCCTTCTCCATGTGTTGGTTGGATTATCCACACGCATATCCACGGCAATTTTTTCAATAGATGTCAAACCGAACTTTTTGTAAAGGGAATAGCCCATCTTGCTAGATTCCACAACCACCTCAACTCCCATTCTCTCGGCCCTCTCCATTCCCCATTGCATAAGCATACTTCCATAACCCTTATTGCGTTGATTTGTGTAGGTAAACATGTAATCTAGTTCTAAAGAGAGTGAGCATGAGAGTACGGGCCATGGACTGGGAACATCTTACGACAATGAGGCCTCCACAAACGTTCGCCCCTGAATCGATAAATTTGATTCAAAACCCGGCTTGCGAAATCTCGGCCAACACCTTCCGGATGCCAGAGAGCAACCAATTCCGGAGCACCATCTTTATAAGGAGAAGAGTATTCGTGGAAATTCCAGTTTGCACCACTGTAAACTACCCCCTTGGTGTCCTCGTCATCAGTCACGTATATCCAGTGGCTGGTAGGATCTTGTTCGTGATAAGACCAGAGCCTGACTTTGGACTCAGCAACAGCTTTGGCGTATCCTTCTTCGGTTGCCTCGGAAATTGGGAACAGGATATTCATGAAAGAGGTATAGGGATCATAGTTGGAGTCCCAGAAACAATCAACGACAGCGCTGAATTCGGCTTGAGTGGTGACTTCTTTGACGACTGGTGCCATGTTTCTGGTTGAAAGTCAAGTAATGTTTGTTGTGAATATGTTTTTGATGTTTGTGTTTGCAAGGTAAAGAAAGGATGTCGATTCTTGATCCAATTTATACTCGCGTAGACTTATATTGACCTTCCCATTCTGTAGTAAACTCGGGGTCTATTTTGGTCCTGGACAATGAGCAGGGATCTCAAGCATATTGAGGGTCGATATGAAGACAGATAAGAATCTCCACGAACAATGGCGCAACGGGAATTGCTTGCATGATTCAAGGGTCGAAGATATTCCGTCAGCAAATTATTGTCCCGGAGGTGTGTGCCAAGAACGGAAAGGAGCTGATGCACTTGAATCACACGTGGGTCAATGCACCTAGCCGGCTTGGTGCATACAATAGCGCGGCCGTATCTACCAAACTGCCTGGACCAGTTAATCAACTACAAAGATCCTCAGCGGACATCCACCTCCCTGCTACCAACAACTACCAACAAACTCCATGCAGGTTTTGAAAATTCCACCGCCAGTCTCCTTCATGCTACTTCATATCGGCCTTTCCGAGGTACCCATTGCGACTCTGTCTGCCCCCATGATGAATCTGTACCTGATATCTGCATATTTATTGACGTGACATGATTGTAAATCTTGGGGTGTTCACCAGCTGACCGATACCACTTCGACAACACTCACAGAGACCAATTGCAGCGTTACAACATATTAAATCAGAACCAGGATGTGTCTGAAGTATCGACTAAACCACCCTTGATACTACCTTGGTGGCATGATATTGAGCTGTGAGCCTTTGATTAGACAGCTCATCAAGTTTTTGAGAAAATACTTACACGTGGCCATTCATTTTGATAATGGTGATTACTCATTTCTCCAATCCTCGCTTTTTAGCCACTACAGCAACCTTCATGTTTACTTCCGATAACACTCAATGATGAAACGAAATATGGGAGTAGGAGAGCAACAATATACTCTTGTCGACTCCGAGGAAGGCCAAGTGGATGAAGGCACGCTCTATTAGGCAAGCCACCGCAATCCTGTCATTAGCAGATTTCGGTTGATCTTCAATCGCAATCTGAAGTAATATACCAGCAAGATATAAAGCAAAGACCCATGCAGTTAGCTACGATCACTCCTTAGATCTGGCATTTCGGACCTCAGGAAGGTAGAATATCTCTCGCTTAAGTCAAAAGGACGCGGGCACAAAAAGTAGATCATATGGGTTGACGATAATTTATTCTTCCGGCCTCTGGCTACGACTTTATCCGTTTCACCATCCATAACGTAGTGCTTAGCAGCAGATAGTGTGTTACCACGTTGACTTGTGATATACATGCTCATCAATGCCATTCAAACCATGTTCATTTTCCACATACCATTCATGATTATCCATAATCCTACGTGCTTCCGCACCTCCAAACCCCATCACACCAGAAAACTCATCATGCAGAAGTAACATCACTACCGCCCAACCCCTATGCCTTTATTTATCTCCTCGCGTCGAGATATGCCTTGGCATCATCCCATGTCTTCTTCTCAGCATCCTTCATCTCTGAGTCGGACAAAGTCTTGACTCCCTTATATAAAGCATCAAAGAAATCAAAGGCAACATCAAGATCTTCTACAAAGTTGATTGCGTAAGGAATATACTGATTAGCATATCTCGTTACTCTTTTCTCCTTATCTTCTTTCAATGATTCGGGATTGACACAGTCATCAAGGTAAGTTTTCACGGCGATTCCGAAAGCGATATCAATATCGTTATCAAATGGAAGACTATTTCAAAGATAGTTAGTGATTTGACCGCTTCAAAAGTTGATGATCAATTGAACAGGTGAATGGTGGAAAAAAAAAACGTACCTGCGACCTAACCCTTGATATTGCTTAACATCGCGGGCAACTTGACCACTCAAAAGCATCGAGGCGACAATGGCTTCAATTAGATCTCTGTCTGTTTCCCGAATAGATTTGATGATCGAATGATATGAAAGGAAATTCTTGCTCAAAGGACCAGTATACCCGATTGGGGAGTGTCTGACTTTCAGAAGACAGGCAACCCGACTTATGAGCATGCAGTTTGCTTTGTCTTCCTCTTCGCCTCGCAGTGGCCCTCCAATTAATTCAGGGTGATGGTCACGATTGTGGAGATTTTGGAAACGAATGAGCTCGAATGCCACAAATGCTGCTTCCTCGCTAAAGTGAACATCCTTATGTTTCTCGGAAATAGGTTGGATGGCTTTTAAAGTAGTGGCTAATGCTTTTCCCCAATTTGTGAGCTCGTGTTGATCGTTGATGTAGCCTCTGAGGTGAAGTAGACGCCACAAAGAATTGGAAAGAATCTCTGCTTTTGAGGAAAGACCAGTAGTCTTTCCTTTGCCAACAGTTTTAGCGGGGAGGTCCTTGTTATCGAGTAAGGATATCGCAGCAAAAGACAAGGTTCCTGCTTGTAATGATTTTGCTTCCACTTTCTTCAATTCAGAATCCTTTACACCCCATACATCAACTAAATTATTAGTCTGTGGCTGTAAGCGTCTATGGTTTAATGATGGCTTGTTTTCATCATCGAACCATAAGCGCATAGTGATATCCTTGTAGAGGAAACCACGATGCATTCGGGGAGCAATTAGGGCTGCAGAAGTTTCTTTGAGTGGCAAAAGAGATTCTGTAACTAGCTTTCGATATTCAGGTGATACAAAGCCATCGAGAGTTGGAAGAACATGGTATTCGAGAGAGTTGAAAGTGTTCATGAGACGCGAACTGATCACATCTTTTTGAAGATAAGAGTACAACTCTGCAGGTAGTTGCAAACCAAGATATTCATGATTGTCTCCTGTCAAGTGATCAAAATCTCTGATATGAATGCTTCCATCTGTATGCACAGTAACACAATGCTTGATACCCATCTTTGCCTTTCGGTACTTGTCAAGCCAATCTCGATCTTGCAAGTTTAAAATATCGTTAAAAGCCGTGCAAGTCGCACTAACCGACTTTTCCGAAGTTCTCAGTAGGTTGATAGCATCGCCAACATTGTAGGGTTGACGGGTGATAATTGATTGATCTTGAAGGGGAGGGAACGGTGGTAAAAATGAAGTTCCGGTCATTAATAATGCATCAGCAAGCATGTCTGGTGTAACATTGAGCTTCTTGATAATCTCAGACCTAACAACGCCTCTTAAGGATTTGTTTTCCCAATCCGCTGGGGTAGGTGGGTAAATGACAGCATCCCAGATGTCATAGAGGAGTAATTCTTGAGAGCCCATAATTCCATCAATGAATTGTTCATCATGGCGATCGAGGGCGGCGAGCTGAGCACAAGCACTAAAAGGAGCAGTCATGTAGTCCAAGTCTCTCGCAGTAAGCACTTCCTTTAGGATGTGGTATAGGTCTGTAATTTGGATAGCGCCTATATGAAATTAATACAAATGAACGATATTGATTCAACACTCAGACACTCACTGGCTTTGCGAAAAGCTGCGACAGCATCTGTAGGATTGCCTTGGTTATAAATTGCCCAGGCTTGTTCTGTTTCGGGTATAGCAGACTTCAGACGGCGCATAGTCATTTCCTTCTTGCCAACAACTGATTGACCTTCAAAAACGAAGTATGGCTCCATTTCATGCTCCTTCCACTTGTCCAAATCGTTCTCGATGTGTAATTTCAATGCCATGGGTTCTCCACCCAGGGCTGCAAGTAGAGGTTCATCGGCAGGGCCTTTCAAAAGATTTGACAGGTATGCTGTAGCTTCCACACCAATTTTTGCGTTTACTAAATCGGAAAGTGGCATAGAACTGTTTGTCGCAAATTAGCAGATGACTTCCTGCGGAATAATTGAGATCTTACACTACCCCAGCATCAATGTATGGGTCGCCAGTATTTACTGCATATGCTATATCAGTCCAATGCTCCGGAATATAGTATGCACGATCGTATGTGCTATCAACCCAGCAGACCGATGCCAACAGCGCATTTTGGATATCCTGATTATCATCGAAAGGATTTGTCGCCACAAATTCAGCTTCGGAAAACACTTCACGGATGATTGAGCCTAGCGTATCCTCCGTTCCGCAGCCCATTTTGCTTCTCGAAGCTCAAACTTTCGTAGAGGTGGTGGTGGAAGTTGAGGTTGAGGTTGAGCTCGCGATGATTATGGTTGTGGTTGAGGTTAGAATTGAGAAGGAAATCGAACTTACGAGGCATCTTGAATTTGGATCCTGAATATGATTCACGCGTTCTTCCCAATTATGATTCGATTCCTAAGTACTTTCCAAAAACGAAAGATGCCAAACCTTATATTCGTGTTGTGGCCCTGTTAAATAATATTGGAGGGGTGTTCGTGGGAAGGAACGTTGGTGGTCTGTAAGATCAATGATGAGTAAAGGGTGAGTTGAAGTTATTATGGGCTGATGTAAAAGAAGAATCTACAGTCGAGTATGTTGACGGGGTATCTGAGGGGTATATCGGAGTGAGATGAGTGTATATTTCAGAAATTGAAATGAATGTAAGACTTAAATGCGCAGAGGTGGTGGTTGTGTCTTCCAAATATAATTTTGAAATTGAAGTTCAGACCACAACCGCAGTTCGAGAAGTGTCCAAGCTCCCAAAAGGATCGGTTCAAGGCTTAGTGTCCCCATCCTCAGCCCGTCGTGCCGTCTCGGCCGTCTATCTTTTGGGCTCATCACGTGAAATATATGATAAGGGAGGTCTCTTCAATGAATTCTTATCAGAAGCTTTTTACAAATGAATATATTTCATCCCACCCTGGAAAAGGTATAAAGAAGAATCATATCCCACTTACATTCAATCATACATCGCTCAGAAATCATGTCGTCTTCAAACGAAGGAAGAATACCAGTCATTGATATCTCAGGCTCAGTACCTCAATCGGAAGTTGCTAAACAACTTGTGGATGCAGCTGCAACTTTTGGTTTCGTTTACATAAAAAATCTGGGGAAAGATATCCCTGTCGATGCCATTGATAGAACATTTGAGTTGGTGAGTAAACTTCCCTCGAATTTCCGTTATGATTATGGCTAAAACATAAAGTAGTCTCAAAAGTTCTTCTCTTCCCCGGTTGAAGAGAAGCTACCATGCAAAATTGCAAATAATGTATGTGATAAGTTGAGTTATATTCAGCCATCGGTATATGGCAGCTGACAAGGTGTTAGAATCGGGGATGGTCTGGAATGCATACAGAGAAATTAGATGAGAAGAATCAACGAGTACGTTATCTCGTCAACAAAACCATGCAAGATTTCAAAGCTAACAGATTTGCAGGTTGGTGATTTTAAAGAGTAGCTTGCCTTTCCCCTGCAACCCGTTCATTCAGGTCCGAACTAACTCTTGCCCCTTAGAGCATTTAATTTAGGCGACTTTGTCAATGGAAAAGCCGACCAACCGCTTCCACCTTCATTGTTGCCACATGAATCAGAGCTCAACGAGTTTCAACTCTATTGCCATAAACTTTGTCTCAAACTCCTTACTCTTTTCGCCATTGGTCTTGAGGTATATATTCCGAACAGCCCTCTTTAATCAATACTCTCATTTGCCGCAATCTACTTCATCTCAAGAAGATCAAAAAAGCTAACTTTCTACAGATTGACCCCGCAGCTGGCGGTTCCGACTGGTTCTCCTCTAGACATCACGGGGGCACAACAGGATGCATTCTCCGTCTGCTCTACTATCCTTCCTTGCCCCCAAATTCTGACTACCAACCCGATGTCGATATCCGAGCTGGTGCTCACTCGGACTATGGATCTATTACCCTTTTATTCCGTATGTCATTTCCTCAATTGCTATCACACCCCCAATCTGACAATCAATTCTTTCAGAACGACCTTCTCAACCGGGTCTCGAAATCCTTCCTCCATCCTCTTCTTCGGAGCCAAAATGGACCCCAGTTCCAATCCAGCCCCCTACTACAGAAAATGACCCATCTCCACCAATTCGTAAGCATATATTTCCCGCCCAAACTTTTGCACCTTCAATCCTCCATATCCATATTGCTTTTTCCAAACCACTCCCTCTGTTCACCCCACGAAAGGCATTTCCCTTTCCAAAAATGTAACTAATCTCCACCCCACCCCAGTCGTAAACATAGGCGATCTCCTCTCGCACTGGACGAACAATCTCCTCGTCTCCACCGTCCACCGCGTGATCTTCCCCAAATCTCTTCCAACAGAAATAGCAGATCGCTACAGTATAGCCTATTTCTGTCATCCTGTCGGCACCACCGTTTTAGAAAGTGTACCCAGTGAGCGCGTACAGAAATTTGGAGAAGCAAATGGAGAGATAGAAAGGAAGAAAGGAGAGAAAATTACAGCTGATGAACATTTGATGGGAAGATTAAAGGCTACATATGCTGGTCTGTATGAGGAAGATAAGGAGGATGAAAAGGAATGAACGTGAGGTGTGATCTAACAGCATGGGAAGATAGTAAGTGATATGTTCTTGGATTCTAATGCAATAGCAACTCTACCCATCAGTAAGATTCGCGCCAATAAAGGTTTTCCCTTCCGAAACGCTTGTATAGTACAATTGATGGAATCATTTCAAGGAAGATGCCGTTATATATCCCATGAGATATCAAACTTGAGTTTTGTTTTCCTCAGACAAGGTGACACTCACGCTCCAAATCAACTAAACTTCGAGTCCCCGCAATACTAGCATAATCTGTCTCCAGCCACTCGCTCTATGCGTCGGCCTTTTCTTCCTTGCTCTCAGTTATCTCATCCTTTTCTTCCTTGCTCTCAGTTATCTCATCCTTTTCTTCCTTGATATCAGTTGTCTCATTCTTTTCTTCCTGGATCTCAATTGTCTCGTCCTTTTTCTCCGCCTCCGCAGTAGGTGTTTCTTCTACAGGTGGCGCTGCGGCTGTTTCTGTAGCACTCTCCGCACCAGTCTCTGTCTTTGTGACCTTCTCTGCATTCGACAACGCATTCCATTCATCCAGATACTTCTCAACTTGTGGTCCCCAGACCTCCTCTCCCTTTTCCAAATCATCGTAATCCAAAACGTTCTTGCCCAGTTCAAACTGTCCTTGTCTGACCCTAACCAAACTGGTCATCAATCCCGCTGATCCCAAATCTGCGCCGAGATCATGGCATAATGATCGGACGTAGAAACCAGATGATACAGTCATGCGGATTTTGGCCGCTGGGGGTCCTTTCTTGACGTCTTCTTTGGACGGAATAAGTTGATCTTCAATTGGAGTTTTGTCAGAAGAAAGACCTCCTGACATCATCGCATCTTCCTTTTCTTCTTCGACTTCCTCCTTGGCTTTTTTTGTCGGCTTTTCCAAAACTAAGTCATCTTGATCATCGCCCATCTTTCTCTTTCTACTTTCGAAATCTTCCAGCGCCCTCTCATTCTCTGCCTCCTTTCCATTACTTGCTGGCTCAGCTCGCTCCTGCTTCCATAACTTCGCCGCAACATTGACTTCCGCATAACCCGCTTCTTCAGTTGGCGCCTTCCACTCATGTTCACCACCTTCATACCACTCTAGCAACTCCAATTCCGAGACATCAACAGGTCTTCTTTCAATCTCTTTAGGGATTTCCTTTCCCTCGCGCGCATATTCGTAAAGAGGCTTTCCATTCATTTTCAAAGCCGAAAACAACGGTGGAAGTTGCATAAATTTTCCTCGATATTTAGCAAGTCCTTTCTCAACCATTTCTCTCGTAATATGTTCATAAGGAGCTCTCTTCAACAATTTCCCATCTTTATCATATGTATCTGTCGCTGCACCAAATAATACAGTGGTTTCATAAGTCTTAGTACAGAGAAGGAAATTGCCCAATTCTTTTGTGCCTTTTCCAACTCCCGCAATGAGGACTCCAGTAGCCAATGGATCTAAAGTTCCTCCATGACCAATTTTAACCTGGACTCTCTTGCCTGACTTCCTGCGTCTTTGTTTTTGGTTGTGCCATTCGTTCTCTCGATTTCGAGTTTCTATTTGAATATAAGGTGCGAATAGTTCGGAGGGATTGAAATGGTGTTGAAGATCGCGAACGATTTGAGCGGAAGAACGACCAGTGGGTTTATTAATGGCTGCGAGGTTCTGTTAATTATATTCATCAATTGAAGAGCGAAAACAGAGATTCGTACCGAAGACGCCTTCCATAACCTTTCCTTTCGTCATTGTCCACCAGGCAAGTCTGGACATCTGCTAGTGTTAGGTTGTTATGGGTGGTAATAGATATCCGTTGGTCGATATGAAGTGGAGTTTACTTCGATTCTCCAGCTTTTTTTTTGTGCCATGGAAGGTTGCTGCAGTCTTAGCTTGGCATCCTTATCATCACGTGACTCATGCCTTATCTTGCGACAACATCTTTTATTCTTGAGAAATATATTTATTTGGAAACATAAGTCAACTGTAACAATTATCTTGGTAGAGAGCTTTCTTTTGTAATGTACAAAGAGTGCCAGTGTCAAGAGGAATCTTCAAGGACCAGCAAGGTCAGCAGTGTAACTATTACCTGACTGGATGGGTTTCGAGATTCATCATGGAGTTCTGAACCATTATCAAGGACTTCGGAATTTCATTTGGCCGACTATTATCTTTATCAACAAACACAGGCCATAGCTTCCTTGAGTTTGAGGAGGTTGAAAATAAAGGACTTCCAAGGTTATTACACTTGACCCCGTGTTACCTTTTTCTACACAAAGATATTGTTGAAGAAAGGAGTGTTTCCTCATCTGGAACTCAAACATCACGTGCTATGAAATTATATCGACTACTACATTATTCCTTTTTCCTTTCAACAGAGATCAAGCCATGAAAGCTTCCAGATCCCAAATGTTTGGCGCTGGCACACCTGGTGCTGTACCATATAAAAGTAATAACTCTTCAGGAGAGAACGTCGATAGAATGGATGTTGATGAGCCAAGGCTTGTTCTTCAAGATACGATTGTCTATCAGAAAAACCGCAGTGTTGCCAATGTATTCGATTCTGTCCTTGGTCTAGAATTGCGCGCTGAAGGTACACTTTGGGTAGAAAATGCGGAAAGATACAAATGTAAGTTCTGACTCTGGTAGATCCCAATTTCCATTCATTGGATCGATACCTAATGCTCTGATAGTCAAGAAACCAAATGGTTCACATTGTCAGGTTCAATTCCAAATGTATTCCTATGAAAGGGATGAGCTTGGAGCTATCATTCTTTACGTTGAAGATTCCGCAACCAAGTGGTGGGTTGAG